GTGGTAGTGCGGTCGCAAAACCGGCAAAACCATTTTGCGGATTTGTAAGCTCAGGCCACCGCCCCTGCTTCCGGCAGGCACGGAGGTCCGAGCGTCAGTCGCGCGATCACCTGCTCTTTGACCTCATGACGGGCAACTCTTACGCTTTTCCCTTCACACGCAACCTTGCAATTCCATTCCTCCCTCGAGCGAGCAACACTTTTGTAGTCGCAGCGTGACTGCAATCTCTGTTTGCTATGCAACCACCTTGAGACTGTTGGTGGCTGTCCACGTCCCGCATCTCACCATGCTCAGGCAGCACTATCCTCTCTTCCTCGACAGAATACAGCCGCGAGTGGACTTGGCCCAGCCAGCATGACAGACACGATGGAGTGCGATATATGCTCGCGAGAATACACTCCTCGTCGAAAGCCTCTCTGCGCCTCTTGTGTCCAAGCCATACTCTATGCATCCCGACATCGTCAAGTGACTTCGTTACTCGATCGTGAGGAGTCACATACATACGCCGAAGCAGTGATACGGCCTGGCAACGATGGCATCCTGGCCAGCCTTCCCGCGAATGCGGACTTCGATGCCATCACTACCGGCGTCCGGAAATACAGCTACGATCGAACGCTGGCGGAGCGGAATGCAGCAGATCATCGGATCGAGCAGATCGTTGATAAGGCCGAGGAGTTGAAGCAGCAGATGGAACGTTACAAGCAGCACATTGCCACGCAAAAGGAGCATCTCCAACGTCGTCGCCAGGACCTGGCCAGTGAGAAGGAGGAGCTTCAGAAGCACAAGCCGAGAGCCTTGGATCCTGTCGAATCTGCCACAAAGAAAGCATCGCAGAGGCTGGACAAGACTCGCACAAGAGTCGTCGATGCGAGACTCCTGCTCTGCCGCGAAGCTGCGAGCGCGAGCAATCTCCAGAAGCGGAAAGGTGCAAATGGACGGTCGGAATACACGCTGGGCGGCATACACGTCCCTGACCTAAGAGAGCTCAACACCAGGACGCAAGCCTCGTCTCGACCTAAGCTCGTAGGCGGGAGGGTGGTGGTCGAACCTCACGGACTGGTCTCGGAATCTTTTGATAATGTCGCTCGCCTCATCAATCTTAGCGCTCACTATCTATCGGTCCGTCTGCCAGCTGAAATCATACTGGCTCACGAGGACTTTCCCCGAGCTGTCATCATGCCGGAAAAATCCTCCTACAAATTCAAGAACCTACCATTTCCCGGGATATCAGGCAGCCAGTCGTCCAGCCCTGTCGCCTCTCGGGTGCTCGACCAGAACCTCCCAAGAACGAGGCCGCTGTGGCTAGATCGCCCACTGGCACAGCTGGTTAAAGAAGACGGAAAACAGTTTGGTCTTTTCATCGAAGGTGTCACACTTCTAGCATGGAATCTGGCATGGCTGTGTAAGACGCAAGGCATCGAAACCATCAACACCTTCGAAGACGTCTGCAATATTGGAAGGAATCTCTGGACTCTACTTATGTCGCAGCATCGTCGCTCTCGGTCCACGAAAGAGGAACCGACCAGACTCGGCATCTTCTCCCACGCTTCCGCCGAGAACAATCTGTTCAGTCTACCCGGCATCGAACTCATGAAGGACTGGCAAGCTCACTCCCCAGCCCGCATCGGCGACAAGCTCAAATCCTTTCTCATCACCGAGATCTCCGGTGCAGATTGGGATCTGCTTGAAGGGAGAGAATGGGATGAGGAACGCGAGGATGAGGTTCCAGTTCTCGTTGGCGGTCTGCGTCGGCCACAAGACAGCCGACACGCCGCTGCCATGAGCATCATGTCCTTTGCTCAGCCTGATGGTGCCGAGGATGAGCGAGCCACTTCTTCCGCGGCAGAAGGCAAAAGGGCGAAGAAGAATAGTGGGTACGTGAAAGTGCGAGGGAGGAATAACTCTGAGGTCTGAGTGAGAGTGAAGACTTGTGTACAATTAATGATCCTGATACCCCTGGGAATAAATGATATGTCACGCTAATAATTTTCATGTCCACCACGCCTTTCCATGCTGTCGTTGTATCGTCATCGCCCTTCTCACTCTCGTAGGTATGCTGCTAAATCATCGTATACTGCCACACTACGCCCCTTCCACCATCTTCCCTCAGCGACCCGTGAAGACCTTGGTCGCATCATCCGCCGTATTCCCCGCCGTCTTCCCCAGAGGATTCTGCAACGCACCACCGGCCACATTCCCCAAACTCTTCTTGAACTCCTTGACATCTTCCTGTTCCGAATCTGGAACCTTGGAAAGCATATCCTAACAGAGAAGAGGAGACCAAATCAGCCTAACTTTTATAATTTTCTTGTTGCGATTCGGAATGTATAGGGTACTGTACCTTTGTCATGTAAGAAGCCTTGTTCTCGCCCATGGTCTCGAGGGCTTTCTCTTCCATGGCGCGCTTGTATTCCTTGGGGATGCCGAAGAGGTAGATGTAGCCTGCGAAGAGGGAGGCGATAACCACGGCTGTGGCGGCCATGATGGTGTAGTCTGGCATCGTTTGTTTGGGAGAGGCTTTTTGTTGAATGGGTGGATGGTTTAGGTGAGGTGAGGTGAGGTTCGAGCAGGTTTTGATGAATGGTTTAAGATATGGTGTGCACTGTTTGTTTGATGAGGGTCTCCGTTATCTAGATGGCGGTCTACAGCAGCGTGTCACAACATCAGTGTATCACCAGACGTGGAAATTCCTTGGTTTCGCTTATGATGTGATGCACTCACGCGTATGGTTCACAGTTGTCGCGTGTAGGCGCCAGGACGCGAGCTGCATGAGGTGTGGGATGGTGACGGTGACGTAGGCGGGGCATGTTCTGGATTCTGCAAAGGGTGGGACCACTTGCCGGGCAGTGTAAGGTAGCTGCAACCTGATTGTCGAGCAATTGATTGACACATTTCTCCCAAGAGCAACCGAGAGACTGTGCGTTGTCTTCCTTCTGCCCTTTCCACTTCTACCACAAGGCACAAACATCAGCTTCACGCTACGGGAAAGCGACTGACAGCTTTCTCTTCAAGCAAGCACCATGTCTTACAACGAGGGTTACGGAGGCGGTGGTGGAGGCCGTGACGAATATGGCGGCGATCGCCAAGGAGGCGGGTATGGAGGCGGACGCGACGAGTATGGAGGAGAGCCTCGCCGTGGCGGTCAAGATTCATACGGAGGTGGTGACAGCTACGGTGGAGGTCGTCAAGAAGGCGGGTACGGAGGAGAGCGTCGTCACGGAGGCGAAGACTCGTATGGCGGCGGTGACAGTTATGGAGGAGGCCGTCAAGAAGGCGGATACGGAGGAGAGCGCCGTCATGGAGGCGGAGACTCGTATGGCGGCGGTGACAGCTACGGAGGAGGCCGTCAAGAAGGCGGATACGGAGGAGAACGCCGTCATGGAGGCGGAGATTCGTATGGCGGCGGTGACAGCTACGGAGGAGGCCGTCAGGAAGGACACGGAGGAGGCGGTGGTGGTGGTGGATACGGCGGCGGTCGTCAAGAAGATTCGTACGGCGGCTCGGGAGGTGGCGGATACGGCCATCAATCTGACCACGGACGTCCAGAGGGAGCATACTCAGAAGGCGGGCGTCAAGGTCAAGGCCATGGCCAGTCCTCCGGCACTTCATATGGAGGTGGAGGGGCATATGGCGGAGCATCGGACGATTTGTCTGGCGCCGCGTCCCACGCAAGCCAACATGCTGGTGACAGCGGAGACTCCAACATGTTCGGCCAGGTCTTGGGCATGCTGCAGGGTAAGCACCAGCAGGCACAAAACGAAGGCTTCGACGAACAAGAAGCCGTGAAGCACCACGAGGCCTACTACGGCGGAGGTGGAAGCGGCGGAGGACCAGCGACGTCGGGCGGCATGGGATCTGCGGCTGCTATGCAAGCGCTCAAGATGTCCAACCAGGGCGGATCAAGCGGTGGCGGTGGCCAGAATGCCTTCATTGGTACTGCTATGGGTCAGGCTGCTAAGCTCTTCGACCAGCAGTCGGCACAAGGCAATGTGCAATCCGGCGAGAGCAAGCAATCCGCCGTTGCCTCGGCTGCTCAGATGGCACTGAAGATGTACATGAAGAGCGAAATGGGAGGCAGCGGTGGTGGCTCGAGTGGTGGCATGGGCAGTCTGCTGAGCATGGCCGGCAAGTTCATGAAATGATGAAGCATACGGAAGCAGCTGGAGAAGGGTGGATGGGTAGTTCTATGTAGAAAAGTACAGGCACGGGACGACCACGAATACCACAAGAGCTGCCATTTGGGGCTAATCCTGACCGTGCAGCGCCGGCGATATGAGTGATGTGAGATGGGAGTAATCCGTGATGTTTTCTGCTCTTGCCTCTATGAACCGTTGGAGAGGCAATGCTGGTCCCCAAGCTTTGCAGGTTCAGGGCGACACCTCATGGCACGCTCGCGACGACAGCGACGAGCGACGAGACATTCTGCCCTCACGTGCCGCCGCCGACACTCCCTCCACGCCGCAACGCACGCGAGATGAACGTCGAGGGCCACGATGCCGACAGCGTCGCGTTCTGCGATGCTCCCACTCGACAAGGGAGAAGAGGAGTTGGCCTGCCACACCCCCAAGCACGCCAGCGGAGGTGCACTCGCATCGCGTCCACCCCAACAACACAAACGATCCCACCCCGACGGCACCAATAACCCCCATGCCGACACACACCACTCCGTCCGTAGCACCACCATAGCAGCAGACAGCCTGGCGAATGGCGACGACGACGCGCGCCCGGCCAAGAGGCCACGACTGAGCATCCGCGCCGGCAGTAGTAAGAGTACCCAGGCGAAGCTGGACCACTTCCTGCCCAAGCCACCCTCCAAAGTCGTCCGCCAGGAACCTCACGGCCATCTCGTGCAGAGCGTCAACGGCGTGCAGACCACCCTCGAGAGCACCGAAGACGAGCTCCTCCGTCCGTCCCCCAAACCCGAACGCGTCTCGTCGCGCCGCACCACACGTTCTCCGCAGCCTCCTCCACCTCCGCAACTGGAGAATGGCAAGGATGCTGCGCGCGGCGGGAAACAGGAGGACAAGCGAACGCTACGATCACAGGATGACGGACCACGACTGAAGAGCGAGCTGGCTATATACTTTCCCTACTATGAGGACATCGTATTCGATGCGCCGAGAGAGGATGAAGAAGAATTCCTCACTGTCGATTCCGCACTCTGGGTGACGGACGACACGCTCAAGTCTGCCAAATCAGACACTTCATCGCCTGCGAAGCCGAGCAAGAATGCCGCCGCCAACTCGCGGAGGACCTCGGTCAATGGCGGCGCTGCTCCTCCGCCCCTGACACCGCGGAGCTCTTCCAACCTCAATGGCAGTAGAGTCCTCGACTTCGAATCCGTCGCCAAGCACATTCCCGCTAACCCCGAAGATCCACTCACCGATGAGCACTTCCTCAAGTCTCATCGCCGTGCGGAGCGAAAAGAGAAGCAGCTGCGCAACATCGAGCGTGAGCGGGCGATGCATGAGAAAGTGCAGCTGGAGCGCATACTCGCTGGGCTACAGGGTCACGACTGGCTACGCGTGCTGGGCATCACCGGCATCACAGATGGCGAAGCAAGAAAGTATGAGCAGAAGCGAGATTACTTCATTGCTGAAGTGAAAGCATTGGTCGACAAGTTCAGGCAGTGGAAGGAGCAGGAAAAGAAGCAGCGTCTTGAGAAAGAAGCCGCCGCTGCTGCAAGGGAGGCGGAAGAAGAAGGAGGAGGCGAGTCGACCGAGGGAAGCGTCGAGCCGCCAAGCAGCGACTTGAATGCTTCTGCCGCCAGACAGCTTCAGCAGGAAACTGTCAATGCCGTGAAGAATTCCGCCAAGGCATCCGGTAAAGGCAAAGAACGAGCGCACCCTACCTCGAATTCGAGCCATCCTGCCACGCCCACGATATCAACTGCTCCCGTGAGACAGATGCTTCCGCCGGCACCTCCGTCGCCTGAGGTGCCAATCACGAGCTTCTACTCGAAACGACATCTTCGCGATGCCGCTCTGGGCAAGGCCAGACATGGCCGCAACATCACAGCTTTTGGCCATCCACTGCCAGACATGGAAGAAGTCGACTTCGAGCTGCCAGATGACTACGTGACGGAGGATGCCATTCGGGCAAACGCCAGGGAGCGTAGGAGAAGAAAGCGAGAGAGTGCTGCCAATTCGTCTTCCAAACGATAGATGGGTTCGTTACAGTATGTTCTATTGTTTGCATTGCATGGAGCAGAATTATACGACGAGTCAAGGGCAATGGATCGAGCAAAGCGGCCTAAGGCTGAGCAATTTCAAGAAGCTTCTCTAGGGTATGTGTAAATAGTCGCACAGCGATACTCCAGGCGAAAGACGTTCAAAATGGATAACGTTCCGGTATTCAGTCTACTCATTCCTCAAACTGAGTCCCCTCTAGACCGCCGCTGTACCTACTAATAATCTAACCGTCAGCCATGTTGTTCAGAGCACCGAAGTCGGAGAAGAATCTTAGAAATTGTTGGGGAGTGTAAAGTGTCAGAGTTGGTGAAGTGATATTCTCGCGTCATACTCCCTGGGGGGAGTCGGAAACCGTGGTAATATGTAATCATGTGCTTCTTCATTTCATTTCATTCTTCTTCTTCTTCTGAAGGCTAATGGGGAAAATTTTTTGTATGCGTACCGGGTGTCTGATGGCGTGGAGTGCCCGCGGCAAGGAGCTGGCTGGACATTCACTCGCTCCACGCATGTGACAGGAGTTCAAAATTCAGAAATCTCAGTCTGCAGTGTAGGAAGAATAATAGGGAGGAAGGAAAGCAGACGTCAAAATGAATGAAGAGTGTTCGAACTAGAAGAACACGAGATTCTTTCGCATCATTCTCCGTCTCTCTCGCACGGTCCCAGATAGATAACGGTGCTACTACGGCCGCCGACTTTGCTCCGTTGGAAAAAGTTTTCCACACGCTGGTTGAAAAAAGAAAAAGCAAAAAACATACAGCACGAGGGATTCTCGCCTGGTCACCCACGGCAATACTAGTCTCGCGGTCGAATGGTTATCTTTGGAAGAGCGGACGGGGTTCCGAGTTTTCATTTGCCTGTGGCCGTATGTGCTAGGACTGTTGGAGACATCGTTTATAAAAGACGAATTTTCTTGCAGGCGAGGTACCGCCGGCTTCCGGGTATGGACTAGCTCCCTTGCTCGGGTCTGACCTTGGGAGGCAGGCGCTCAAAAGTCACTTGATGATGATTCCATCTAGAAGATCTGATGTGGCTTTCTCTGCCGACTGACAGAGCGTGTACCATGGCTGCCAAAGCGACCTATGCATCGGTACAAGCACCAGTCATGACAAGGATCAATTGGGCGAAGGTACCTTCCAACGCGCCATGTCGGCGCGGTACGATCTGGGCCAAATGCCATTCTTACCGGGCGCGAGGATGCCCTTGGGGTCAAGAGCATCTTTGATTTGCTCGTTGAGGCGCAAGTTGACATGATTGTTGAAGTTGTACGTGGAGACAACGTCGTCCATGATGGCAAGATGAGTTCTACGATTGGACGCGCACGTCGGGTCAGCTCATGCATGACTTCCTTCACACATGGGTGTGGGAGGCGGGAAAACAAAGAAAAAACTCACCTGTACTCTCCCCAGCCATGGTTGGCGGCTTCGACGATCATCTCTTTGACACAGAGATGCGCTCGGCGACGACTGTCCGGATCTGCACGGTCGAAGACCACTTCCACGATGTGGTGCATCTCACGCATCCCGATGATGTATGTGCCGATGAAATCGAAGCCGTACTTTTCCACCAGCCGCCGCGTCGTGGCGTATTGGGCGGCGGCATCCTTGCCCGTCACGGGCGCGATGGGTGAAAAAGCCACGTGAGCACCGTTGGGAAGCCAGTCCACCCACGCCAATTCGTCCGTGGACGGGATGCCCTGCAGCGTGTTGTGTCGGGTCTGGGCAACCTCGTTGTTGGGCATATCTTCAGGCAAAAAGAACTTTGATCCGGGAATCTTCGAGAATGCAGCCTTGATTGCAGTGAGCATAGCTTCCGCAATCGGCGGCGCGCCATAGACGGCGCCATAGAAGTTCCACCGTCCCAAACCGTGCTTCGTAGCTAGCTGGTCCAGTTCATCGTCGGTGAGGGGCTGGTCGACTGGCTTGTCCGGGAAGTAATCCTTTTTGGATCCCATCACGGCCGCATCCAGCAGTATATGTCGAAGAGTCGGCACATTTTGAAGAATTCCTCCGACGCGAAGAGGCCGGATGATCTCGACGGTCTTGTCAACATCGCTGTCTTTGGGGAATGTGATGATGTAGCTCTGGTAACCTCCGGGGTTCGTCATGAGCCACATACCCATCTTCACACAAACTCCTAAAAGACTGGGTTAGTCATTAACATGAGCTGCAGGGCATCCAGCCTGTAACGCACCAAGCGAAGCCTGAGAGAAGATTCCGTCATTGTAGGGGCCAAAGCCGTAGTTGAACAGCTGCCAACACTCATTCGGCTCCTGTTCGTGCAATGGTTTGGTAGTGTCAGCTTTTGGGTTCGGCAGAGCACCCATGCCGGTGCGCAGCAGTTCTCCATTCGGAAGTATGACTTCCATGCCACAGTGCATCATCCAATGATCGCCATAGGGCTGCAAACGTCGAAGTCAGCGCTGAGTATAGCTATAGATAACTCGTGTGTACGCGCCGTGTATCCGACTCCCCGTTCAATCGCATTGCCGAGCACACTGCCTCCACCGAGACCAGGTGTGTCCAACCAGACGCGATCACGGAGATTATTATCGACGAGGTACTGGTGGAGCTCGAAATATGTGACGCCGGGTTCGACTATAGCGTAGGCATTCTCAACATCGACTTTGATAATCTTGTTCAGGTGACGACCCATGTCCAAGCCCACGCTGCCGCGGACCCGCGGTGCGGCACCTCCATATCCAAGATTGCGTCCAATACTAAATGGCCAGACCGGAATCGAGAACTCGTTCGCGAGTTTCAGGAGCGCCTGTGTGTCTTCCACGCCTCGCGGAGCAACGACCGCCGAGCAGAGGAAATGGGTGTCGTCACACATATTGAACATGTCTGACGCCTTGCTGGGGTTGAAGTAATCGTGCTTGTGCACTTCGGCAGCATCGATGACAATCGTTACGTTCTCCTCGCCGACAATGGCCACCGCTCGCTTGGCATATTCATTGAAAGTGGCGGCATCCGTGCCTGGTGGGAGAGCGACGGGAGTGACTGAGCCAGCGCGACCACCGTTAGGCGCGCGATGAAGGTTTCCATTCATGTGCGTGTTGCTAGGAGTGGAGCCCGTCATGCTTGCAGAGATGGCGATATGCGTACATGTTGAGAGGGCCAGCCGGGGGAACGTATATGTAGTTGGTCCTGGAACTCCTCCGCGCCTGATTTATTTCCTATTAAGGTAAGACTGCCGCCCTTCACCCGCCCTCGCGACCTGAGATGCAATGGTAATAATGCCCGGCATTTCTTGAGGAATCCACAGTCAAATGGATTGCGATGCTAGGCAGGTGTTCAACACCCCGCTGGTCCGCGTCTCGACCGCGTGATCATTTGGGCATCTGTGAAGCGGAGCCAGGGTCAATATATATCCGCGACGACTATCCGCGACTGGTACCAGCCACAGCAAATCCTGGAAGCAGGGTTGTTCATTGGGGAGTAAGAGAGGGGCGCATGACAAGGACTCAATGCACAAATGGATGCCTGTAGATTGAACACCCCGCGATCTCTCTACATGTACAACCAGATACGAGCCACGGCCGAGTCCAGGTTCTGCAGCTCCCCGCTTGTCAGATCACGGCTTGCGACTCGGGGAGCTATATTTAATGAAAGTGTCCCACACGATCACCAGGCCACCAGACAACCAGGCATCTTCCTTTTCGGTTGCCTGAAAGTGCTGAGAGGGTGTTGTCTGCCGTCACTGCGGTTGGGCATGGAGACGTGAATAAAGGCGCTCGAGTATTCGCGACTCATGTATTTCATGTCAATCTGGGCAAAGTCGGAGGGGACGTCGAGAATAATCGCAGGATTAGGGGGACGCACGTTGGGGATTATTAGTATGGAATAGCAACGGACGGGGTTTGGAGTGTTCATTCGCCCATGGTCGTATGTGTTGAAGATGTTGGAACAATTGTGTATCTATGTAATAAGATAGGTTGAGAGACTCGATATCGCTCCGAGGTGCTAGTGGCGGCCAGATGAGGACTAGCTTGCTTGCTCGCTCCGGTCTGATTTGGGAGGAAGGACGCACCATCAACATCCCAATTGCAACCGACGGGAATTTCCATCCTCTGGCCATGTCCGAGGGAGGATATCTTGCTTCCCGAGGGTCAAATGGGGGCACAACAGCGTTATGACTTCACGGAAACGCCGAGTCATCGTGTTACGGACCTCACTCCAGCCAATTGGAGTGACTAAAGCAGCCAAAGGTTCAGTCACTGGGCGAGCGAGTCACCCATATGTCGACCCCAAGACCAAGTCTTCCCTCAAATTCAGTCCTTCGTGCCCGGTCCATGAGCAGATATATGGGCAAAAGGGTGTAACGGCGTCGACCCGAGCACACGTTCAATCCGAATGCTTGAATATGGAAGGAGCCGACGAGATATTCAAGGCAGGATGCTTGCGTGATGTCTACGAAGAACGACCACTAGGATCTCCGAATGTGTCCAGAATCGTCACCAGATTCCAGCCCGAGCCGAATGGTTTTCTTCACCTGGGTCACGCCAAAGCAATAGCCATCAACTTCGGTTTCGCGCGTTACCACCATGGAGACTGCAACCTGCGCTTCGATGACACCAATCCGGGAGAGGAGAAAGAACGATTCTTCACCGCTATTCGGGACATCATAACATGGCTCGGTTTCGAACCCGCCAACATCACCTACTCAAGTGACCACTTCGAACGGCTATACCAGCTAGCAGAAAACCTGGTCGAGAGAGATGGGGCATACGTCTGCCACTGCTCAGGTACGTCCTCAGGCTTTTCAGGGAATGAGGTGGTTACTCACTGTATGGACAGCGGAAGACATAAAACGACTCCGAGGCGGTGGCAAGGAATCGAAAGGCAGCCTTGCAAGAAGGGCATGCGCGCATCGAGACCGACCGATTGAAGAAAGTCTCCAAGAATTCCGCGCCATGCGAGAAGGAAAGTATGCCAAAGGTGAAGCCGTTCTCAGGATGAAACAGGATCTCCGAGACGGCAACCCCCAAATGTGGGATCTCGCTGCCTATCGAATCGCCGAGCCTGGCAAGAGTCATCATTTCAGAACCCAGAACGCTTGGCGTATCTACCCAACCTACGATTTCGCGCACTGTCTCTGTGACAGTCTCGAGGGCATATCTCACTCTCTTTGCACCACGGAGTTTGAGCTCTCTAGAGTGTCTTACGAATGGCTCTGTGACCAGCTCGAGGTTTACAAGCCTATGCAGCGGGCGTACGTTCCTCAAGGAGCTTTTGGGATTTTTCCTAGACTGATGGCTCGCAGATATGGGCGCCTCCAACTCGAAGGAGTGGTCCTGTCGAAGCGAAAGCTGAAGGCACTAGTTGAGGGCAAGCACGTCCGTGGCTGGGACGACCCACGGCTGTACACGCTTGTTGCTCTCCGGCGTCGTGGTATCCCCCCTGGAGCCCTCCTGTCATTCGTCAATGATCTTGGCGTGTCGAAGGCGACGACCGTGATCCGAGCAACAAGATTCGAGCAATCGGTCCGCAAGTTTCTGGAACAGACCGTCCCTCGCCTACTGATCATCCTGGATCCGCTCGAAGTGGAAATCGAAGATCTGCCCGAAAATCACGAGGAAATGGTGGACGTCCCATTTGCCAAGGATCCAGCCTACGGAGTAGGTGTACGCATGTCTTCGAGCCGAGCTTTTTCGCTGACAATCTTAGACGCACCATGTGCCCTTCACCAGAACTGTTTACGTGGAGAGGTCAGATTTCCGTGAAGTCGACTCCAAAGACTTTTTCCGCCTCGCTCCCGGCAAGCCCGTGGGACTTCTGAGAGTCCCATTTCCGATTGTGGTCACTCGTTATGACAAGGATGAGAGCACCGGACAAGTCACCAACGTATATGCGTCTTACATGCGACCCCGCGAGGGCGAGAAATTTAAGAAACCCAAGACGTAAGTACACTGTGTGGACCGGCAAACTGAGTGAATAGCAAGACTGATGGTTCATGAATCGATAGCTACATCCATTGGGTTGCGCATTCCGCGACGCATCAAAGCCCCATCATGGCCGAGGCGCGATTGTTCAGCTCCCTCTTCGACCGCGCAGAGCCAGATACACACCCCGATGGTTTCCTCGCCGCTCTCAACCCCGAGTCCGAGGTGATATACCCCAATGCCATGATCGAGATCGGTCTTCACGAAATCCAGAACCGAGCGCCGTGGCCGGCCCGCGAAGGTGAACGGCATCTGGACTCCATGGAACAACGTCCGGAAAGTGTTCGCTTTCAGGGTATGCGGGTAGGGTATTTCTGCCTGGATTCAGATGCGACGACCGGACGACCTGTGCTGAATCGGATCGTCACTTTGAAGGAGGATACTGGCAAATAGCTAAGTCAAGGTTCGGGAAACAGGAGATCGAGTTTGGACTTTTGTTTCTCTATAGGGGGGATTAGGTTGGGGCAGACGTGTTCGAGGTTAGCTTCTCGGCTTCATTTGCATCATGATCAGTAACATTGGACGGGCGTCGGATTCTTAATTCGTCTGTGGCTGCATGTATCCGCCGAGTCTAATCTTGCGTATATGGAAGTGCGTGATTCGATCCTTCGCAACCCAAGCTTGCAGACGCCAGCAATCAAAGCCGAATCTCTACACTATCTCTGATTGCAGCATCAAGTCTAGAATGTCTGTCCAGGCATACCAGCTTCACTCAAAGGACATGCGATTCGCAATTTTGCCTACACCATCAATCCCGGCCTCCACTATGCCTCCATCACAAAGGAACTGAGCGGGTCGCATGAACAGTCCGACTCCTCCAGGCGTGCCAGTCAAGATTAACGGTCCGGCCTGTAGCGTCTGCCCCTGGATACAAAACGCTACCTGCCGTGTGACCAGACTGACAGAAGTCGCCATTCACTCTTGTCGTCAAGAGCAAGTTGTTGACAGCTTCCAAGATGCCGGTCGAGACTAGAAGACGCCTCATAGGCGCATCCTTGTCGGAAGGCTTTGCTGTAGACCACTGAGGGGAGTCGACCCTGCCTTGCCCGGCCCGACTCCCCCAAAAGTAGTAATTGGTGTATGATGACAGCTTCTCACGGTGAGTCTTGTCATTCAAGCCGAAGAAGCAGCGCATAGAAGGCACGTCTTGAGCTACGAGTGGCGATAGCAGGCTACCAAAGGTTGCGACTCGATCGGTTGGAACTGCGTGAAAGCGTCCTTGCTAGCAGGTAAAATACGCACTTGCAGCTTACCCTCGCCGGCGAGCTGAAGGCATACATCCACCGCTTTCCCCCGTCACGTTGGGCTCCTCTGTACGTACAGGGGTTGATTGATCTTTGAGGGCCGCTACAGCCAAGGCGGCATTCAAAGTTTCGGTATCGCGACCATAGACACCAGAAGCCTCCGGGAGAGATTTTCAGGGAGACAAGGTCTTGGCGGACGGACACCGGGGATTCCAGCGAGAAATTCCAGGACCGGCAGCCTGAACCGAGGATCTTCCATGGCCATCTGGACTGCCTGTACAATAACACTCCATTCGTGGCAGTCCCGCATGTCTGGCATCCAGCCGTCGCCGATTTTCAGTACAAACGCCATAAAGCCAAGTGTTCTGCTAAGCAGGTCGAGACACTCGTGCGTGAGCTATCTCCGAGATTCGGGAGGGAGGACGGCTCGGAGAGCTGTTCGAAATCTGGCACGACCATATCTCAGTCCCGCAGTCGACGACCAGGGGTGAAGTTCCAAATCATCCTACGGATCCCTGAGCCTTCTCAGCGAGCGACAATGACTTTGGTCTGCCTATTGGATTTGGACGGTTCTGCATTGCATGCTATGCGCTTCGGCGCAACAGCTGCAGACCGATGTCGTGGGATAGGTTGGATCTGCAGTGCGGCTTGGTTCAGTCGCATGTGGACGACCATATGAAGCACACACGGCGTGCGAACATGCAGATCTTGGTCAATGAGTCCAAGCTCATCGCGTCAGACTCGAAGAGCCCTGCAGTCACAAATGAGCTTTGGAGTCGATGGCAAGAGGAAGCCCAAGCCCATGGCTTTGGTCGAGAACTGGTATATCTTATTATTGCAGATAAGAATCTGGTTCTATGGCGATTGGGAAGAATCATTCCAGTTCGTTCGGACGCCTCGGGAGAGCGGCAGATTCGTTTCGGCGTGGTACATGCAGTCTTCTCGAAAATCTTGGTAACGCTGGAGCCATTGTTGGGATTATATGCATTCAATGTCGGGGCATATTCTTGCTGCGCATCGCATTATTCAACCGGTCTCAACAAAGCCTACCGCATTCGAGGCTTGGAGGTTCGTTTCTCGCATGCACTGCTGTTGCTTGAAGTAAGGATGGCTAGTCGCTTTGCTTTGGGGAACTCCAACGTGCGACTGCGAGAAATCAACCGAGATCGAGGTAATGTTCAATGCTCTCGCACTGCCTCGCCCCAACGACAGCAGATACGTGTAGCTGTATTGATGCCCGACAATCGTACTCGATTCGGCCTGCCACTCTTGGCAGAATCCAGTTCCAAGGTTGATCGCCGCTTCCTTCCGACTTCCTATGTCGCTAACCAGTATAATGGCTGCAGGGATAGACGCAACTGCACGGGTGTCTGCTCTTCGGTCCCCGGTCCCCCAACTTCTGTTTAGAAGCTGGATTCTCTGCTTCCATGCAATTCAATAAACTTCGGCCAGGCAGATGCTATCACAGCTGCGGTCTGCGTCGTTTCCAACGCACCAATTGCTCGCCTGGAATACGTTCTGGTCCCGAAAAGGCAGGGTAGACACCAGACCCGTCTTTTGTTGCGCTCTAGCTACACAATTGAATCGCGCTCGACATTTCGGATCGTTGAAAGCCCGCCCTTGGAGTTGATCGTAAGTCGACCATGAGGTTCCGGTAGCTATTGCAGAATTCAAGTCCCGCGGGCAAGAGGCTCATTGCGAGTGTATGAGTATCGAACGTAATCATGTTCATCAGGAATGGTATAGATCTCAGACTGCTTGGGTACCAGTCGTGCCTCGCTCGGTGGCTTCAAACTGTCAATCCGCCGGTCCTGGCCCTGGAGTCCGATCCAGCTATAATGACTCGTTTGCTGAGTCCTCTTGCTCCTCAGTCTGGAGCTCCAAGATTTGACAGTCCGTCCGCAGGTCATGAAGAAGGGTCTGATGGTCGGCAGAGATCCAAAGATGATGATAAACCAGGTCTGGGTCAGAGTCCACGTAATCAGAGTTCCGTAACCTCCAGTGAAGTCGACGTGTTCAAGTTTGGCTGTCATGATAACGCCGGCAACGCCTGCGACGATGCCTCCGCTCATGATGAAGCAGATGGCGACTTTGAGGCCCATTTTCATCTGCTGTAGTGGCCCTACGATTAGAACGGCAGGATAGATTGCAAGGGCGAAGTCGGTCAAGGATCCCCAGCCCCCAGAGAGGTAGCCGATGTAGATGACGAGATGGGCGAGAGGACAAGTTCCTGGAGTAGCGATGGCCCAGAGCTTTTTCGGCGGGTCGCACTGGAACAGTGTGATGATCAATTGTAGCATGCTCGTAAGGAACTGCAGCACTCCGAGGACTTGCAGCATGGTCCTACCTCTGGGGAATGTTGTTCCGTGGAGTGATAATAGAAGCGCTACAACCGCAAATCGGCCAAATGCCATAGAGAGCATTGCGAAAGTATTGCTGATGCTAGTGTCGCTGTTAGCATTTTCGATATCGGATTAGATATAGTGGACGGTGTAAAACTTACATGCCCCAGTACAGAATATACTCAATATGTTCCATCATCTGCCCGGGCCGTTTCGTCGCGTTGTGATAGCTCACAGTAATGAATATCTGGGATATCAGTGCCGTCACCTGCAGCATCTCGTCAATAATAATCGCTTGTCGCGTGGAGAGGATAATCGTACAAACGCAATCGTGACCCAGATGTAGTCCCATCGTATGCCATAGAATGAGAGAGTGTCTCTCGGTGCTTTAGATGCGAAGGCAGTTCGCAATACAAACAACATTATCGCAATCCACGTCCATGTCCAAGTCAGGCCCATCAACGTATCGCCCTCAGTACCATACAACACCAGTCGGGCCATTTTCGTCCTGGCAACGTGAACGTGTACCCTCTCCAGAAATCCAGGAGTTGAGGTGTCGAGGTGTCTAGTAGAAGGAGGTGAAGTGCGCTCAGCAAGAACCATCTTCGCCGGGAGATGCGGAAAGTCAATGCTGTTGCAAGATATTATAGCCACTGTTTCCGGGATGTTGCTGAAGCTTCCCCAGGGTCAGCTTCATGAATAGTCTCATGTTCCTTGCGCCCATGCCGTGCGGAGATGATGCCTCCGCGTGGCGTTTGCGCTTATCTCGTGACCTGCATCTCGACGCAAGATCTGCATAGGTTGGCTTGTTGAGAATAGAACGGATCGTGGTCGAATTGAAGGTGTAATCCCCATGTGCCAGGATTGCCTGGATCACCTTCCACGACTCGGGAAGTGTCGGCAGGCTGAGTCCCAATATTGGTGCGGAGAACACCGACGACTCTTGACTTCACTTGTTACTATCGCCTATTCGGCCAACCTCATCAACATCGACCACCCCCTCGACGATGGCTTTCCTAGTTACTCCACGGCAATGTGGACAGTGACTTGTGAGAGATGCTGCACAGTGCACCCGCCACTGCAGAGTACAGTGCCTCTCCATAGCGGAACGTTAGTGTCTTTCCAAGGATCCTAGCCAAAAATCTGGGAAATAGCGAGTCGGACAGCGCAAAATGAGCGGTAACAGCCGTCGAGATAGCACTACAATGTCCAGTGACGCTGCAAGGCTTCAATTGAATCATGAGGTAATACTCCTTGCAATGCATGCATGAAGCGTTGCATTTGCGTGGTGTCCCGGGCAGCAGCTTTCACGAGTTTCACGCTCCTTTTGACCGTGGAGTGGAGTGGCGTGCTAGCCCATCATCTGTCCAGTCATTTGTAGGTTCTTCCGGCCAGAGGTCTCTAGAGCTTCACCACACGCGTCCGTTAGCAGCCCCAACGACGCGCGAATTCGTTTCCACCCATACACTCACATCTTGTGACATCTCTGTGGCGATGGTATCGTCTAGACAATCGTCTCTAGGAGCTCGAACGCACAGCCAGTCGCGACCATGGGGCAACACACGGCCTAAGATAGGTCGTGGATTGGAGCGGTATTCGTGACGTCCTGGACGTTTAGCTGCACACGGCGCAATGTCCGGGATCTATGGAGGCTCTTTGCTGAGGAGATGTGTTTGAACACATGCGCAGCTCATCTTCTGTCCAACGAATAGTTTACCGGGTGCACAGTCCGGCAATCGGAGTCGAAATTCGATGCAGTGTTTAGAAGGGACAAGTACTTGAGGGTTCTCATGGAAGCATCTGCAAAGGCTCCAAGTCAAGTGCAACAATGGCGAGCGTATGGTGGGCACGGTACGGGCAAGCTTCGGCAGCAAATGTGTATGAGCAGCCCTCAGAGCAATGGTATGCTTTCAGAGCAGTGGTATGCTGCTCGGAATGTTGGTGGCACCGCATCGAATTGTCAAAAAAAGGTGTTCAGCTGAAGAAACTCCTGCAGCGTTCAATGTGGCGGCGACGCCAGTTCACGTGATGCGTCGGGCTGGCCCGTCCCGCGCGCCTGGATAACTCCTACCAAGGATGCTCGCGAGTGGTATGGGAGAGTCGTCGCACCACACAGGAACTCGCCGCATCGCCGTCCTCGCGCCTTGGATATTCTTTCCGCCTCCCTCGCATGTTTGCGCGATTCCGACTGGGTGGTTCTCGAGGCACAGTCGTCATGGATTCCGCCCGCAAGCGCAAAGCCTCCAACGCGACGCCCAACAGCACCGAAGGGAGCGCTTCGGGCTCCAAGCGCATCAAGCTGCTGGTACGTGTCTATTTCCACCTGTGGATGTTTTCCGTAAGAGCTCGGTGGAAGGATCGGGGTGAAGGGCGCCTGGCGATTGCGCATGGATACGGGCGGGTGGTGGTGTTGGCGGAGCGGATGTTGTTGTTGTTGGTGGGTGGACGGGTGCAGGAGGAAGGCCGAACAGAGCTACGCGACGGGTTGAGTGTCGAGCATGGGCGGCGGCGGCACCTTCAAGTTTCGTCATCCACCACTCGGCACTGCACCAGCACCACTGCACTACTCGCCCAAGAGCACCGGGCAACGTTGTATGGTTGGTAATGGGCAAATTGGGCTGACCGCATGCGCTGCACCAACAGAACTCCAGCGCACCACCGCAGACACAGACACAGTCAAAGTCCCAGTCACAGTCACAGGCACAGGGCGCCGGCAGCGACAACTTGACGGCAGTGCAGAAGGTCGGCTTCAAGCTGCTCAATCAACTCAACAATGGCACCGACAAGACGTACGTACACACCATCTAGCCCACTCCGTCTCGCCTTACGCGCTGACTGAGCGACCCAGCGGCCGCTCCATCACCGATGCCTTCCAAGAACTGCCATCGCGGGACGAGCTTCCCTCCTACTACGAGCAGATCAAGATGCCTCTGGCCTTGGACATCATCGAGGAGAAGCTCAAGAAGAATGTCTACCCGACCATTACCACCCTGGAAAGTGACTTCAAACGCATGATCCAGAACGCAAAGGACTTCAACATGCCCAAGAGTGAGGTGTATGAGGATGCCGAGCGCATCAGAAAGCTCGTCTACAACTTCATGAAGGTGCACAACCCGCAGTACCAACTGGACCCGACCTACTCTTCCTTCCCAACACCAATTCCGACCACAACGCCCAGACTGACCCTGACGAATGGGGCCGCACGGGAGCATGAGGCGGTCAAGCCGGAGCCCAAGAGCAGAGAAGCAAGCACCAAACCAAGACCATCTACTGCACCCAAGAATTCCGAGCCGCCTTCTGACAGAAAGTCGTCGGTCGCGCCAAGTGCAGCCACCGGAGATGTTGGCGACGGTGAAGACATGGACTTTACTGGCAAATCTTTCCAGAAAGCGCAGATGATGATCATTGATGAGCTGATGGGATACACCGATGATGAGTGAGTTTCCCGCTCTTCTGCAACATCGAAGCAACGGCACTAACTTGCTCAGCAGGGGACTTCAAATCTTCACACCCTTCGTCAATTTGCCAAGCCGCAAATTGGAGGACTACTACAGGACCATCAAGCATCCTATGTGTCTCAAGGGCGTGCAGAAGAAGATTCGGGGCCAACATGGCCGAGACCCACCGACCGGTGTCAACACATTCAAGACGTGGCAAGAGTTCGAGAACGCGGTTAGCTTCATATGGCGCAACGCCAGAGAATACAACCAGGACGGAAGCGAAATGTACGAGCTGGCTGGTGATCTTGAGGTACGTGCTTTATTGACGGGTCGGTTTGCATTATCTGACCGATGCTAGAACATATTCAAATCACGCCTCGCAGAAGCCAAAGAGAAGGTGGAAGAGCCGGCCAAACCCAGTATCAAGATTGGGGGCCCAAAGCAGGCCACCAAGTCTGGTATTACCTTGAATCTCAATCAACATCGCAATTCCCCAACGCCGGGGGTCAGCGTGGACATCGAAGCTTTGGCTCGGCAGCGACAGATGGTTCAAGCGGGCGTGAACGGCCAGCAACAGCAACATCGAGCCACTCCGCCTAATATGAATGGAGCCTCAATACCCTTGTCAGCAATGCCAGGGACCGATTCAATGAGGCCTCCTAGCAGTGCTCATGCTGGTAGCCCGGCTGCAGCTGGCGTCAAGTTCGAGAAGTCGACACTGTCTCCGGCGCCAGCCAGCCATCAGCTGTACACCAACGGCATGATGCCGCCTCCGATGCTTCGACCCACGAGCGGAAGCCCTTTTCCTACTACGAACGGCATGAACATGAGCAGCTACCACTACACAGCGCCGGGCTTGCTGCCACCTACTCAGATCCGCGATTATCCCGCCTCGCAAGCATTGCTACCTGTCGTCACCATTTCTACCCATCCGCAACTGGATAATGTGCAGAAACCGTACAGCCTTGCGATCCCACCTCACCCAACGCTGTCACATCAAAGCACGACCATCACATTACCTCCTGCGCATCTCTATCTTCAGATCGCGCCTACGATTTCGCGCGAGCTTTCCATGGGCCGCCCATACAAGATGTTCGTTACATTGAACGGCACACGTCTCGCACAGCGTGACACGCAATTTCACGCGGACTCCGGCAAGCGGACGCACGTGTATGAGGGCAATTTAGCCCCCGGCGTCAATCGGCTAGAGATCGAAGTTGCTGCTGCCAAGGCGGATGACAGCAAGGGATTGGACGTTGAAAAAATCGTGGTGTATTGCAACCTACAGAAGCAGGACTAGGAGCTTCCTCAAGACGAGATGGAGCTTTTGGTTGCAAGGGCAATCATGCCTTACGACTGGGCGCAAACGCCTCGGTGATAGGATAGAGTCCCAGGTCATTGGGGCTTTTGAGATGCGCATTTGGTACTGACACATCGCTGCTGGTCAGAGCTTTTCCGCTATAGAGATAACCCGCTGTATCCATGATTTCGACTTGGTTCGTACTGTACGGATTTGTGCGCTGTTCAACGACAGTATTTTCCGCGCTAATAATGAAATTGGCGGGTCTTCTGAACTACCTAATAAGTATCTCAACACTTTCGCCAGACATTACCGCTGACTAAATAAAGCTCGAGGATGTTATAGACAGTGAAAGCATCGCAATCAACGCTGAGTTATGTATACATTCCATCATCACCCCCGGGAAACCACCCATTCCCATATTCGGCATGCGCATTCCGTTCATTTGGGAAGCGCATTTACTGCCTGTCTTCTGCCTTGGTCGCCCTGCCATGCCGCCGTAGAGGTTGCTCGTGCCACACATATCATACCCGATGTAGAGGCAGTACATACACATCTTGACAAAGTGTGCGTCAAAGCTGGGTTGTTTCGGTGAGTTGCTGCGATTCTGACGTGGGTAGTAGTGGTTCTTCTTGATGCTTTAGGTATCCAGGTTAGTTTGATGCGATGAACTGTTGGCCTGTTTTGTTCTTTGAGTCTAATGATTACAGCATTGGAAGCGGGAAAGGCTACCAGTAGGTCGGTTTCGACATCTGTTATCACATTTTATGTCAATAAAGCCTTTTTGCTTGTCATAGAGTGCTTCACGATAGATAGGCACCGAGTGACAGAGCGTATCGTGTAGCACGCATTCTGAGTACGTTGCATCAGTATGACATAGAAATTATTTTTTGACCCATGATCATTGACACACATAGGAGACTCTTATTTTCGATCTGCCAGGGCTATTTGTACAATAGTTGCCATGCGCAATTCCTCTATGCCTCGGAAGCCGCAGCACCAGTAATAATCTCGACCAGCTCTCCAGTAATGACAGCCTGTCTCGTTCGGTTGTAAAGAATCTGGAACTTATCAATCATGTCGCCGGCGTTCTTGGAGGCGTTGTCCATGGCGTTGCGACGAGCGGAGATTTCGCATGCGTGACCCTCGGCAAGCGCCCAGTAGATGGAGTTGGCCAGAGCATATTCACGCATATTGGAGAGGACCTCCTCGTCGATCTCGAAAGCGGCGAAGTTTGCTATAGACGCGAAGTATTAGCATCAGAGCACGAATCTGTGGGACCAATACTCACGTGACTCCTTGATGGCATCCTCAGAGAAGGCCTCAATGACGGTCGCCTCGTAGCTCTGGGCGTTGATGAACTTGTTGTACAGGATCTTGATCGAGGAGAAGTCTCCTGGAAGTAGAGTGACCTGGTCGGCAATGGCCTGAGCATCGGCGAAAGTGGGGACGTCCTTGCCAACACCCGCAAAAGAGAGAGCCATGTCCTGGGCGTTGCTCCTGCTCAGCTGAGCCTTGCATTTCTCCCCGAGGACGACGAGTTCGTAGTCGCCTGGCTGCTCGGTAAGGAGACGGCGAGTGGCACGGGTCAACCCAGAGTGAATACCACCGCAAAGACCCTTGTCGGAGCTGCAGACGATGAGCAGCGTCTTCTTGTTCTCAGTCTCTAGGGGCTTGGTCTCCGCCTCCTCAAAGACCTGGCTGTTTGCCTTTCCGTACGAGCGAGACTCTTCCATGGCGCGCTGAGCCTTGGTGAGCTTGGTGGAGGCGACAATTTTCATGGTCTTGGTGATCTTCTCGATGTTCTTGATCGACTTTAGACGGCCCTCGATCTCACGGAGGGTGGCGAAGTTGGCATTCTGAAAGGCGGGAGCCACGGCGGCGGCCGGTCTGATAGCGCAATGGCGATGTTAGTAGGTGTCTCGAGATCGATCGATTGTCCTGGAGTTCGCGCTGTTGCTGGCGATGGGAGGGTGGAGACGGCGGACATACCGCAGCGATTGCGCCGCACCAGCCCTGAGGGCGGGACGAGCAGCTCTGGACAGCATACTGCTCGATGAGGAGAGGTGTGGTGGGAGTGGGTGAATGGAGTCGGCGTCGACGTGTGCCGTGCTGTGCTGTGCTGTGCTCTCAGAAGCTGTTCGGGGATGAGGTCGTTACCGGAACAGCCCGCGGTTTGGCTCTCCAGCAGAGGTCACAAGTCGTGGCAGCTGCACGCTCCCGGCGAAGAGCAAATATCACCTCTGCTTAGGCTTCACGCGTGTTGATAGACTTTGCTGAGACATGTGTATTTCATCTTCAACCAAAGCTCAGTTCTGCACTTTGCACGAGCATGTTCACGTGGGCAGGATGCAGCTGAGCGTCGCGCTTGGCCAAGACTTCTGCAAGCAGCTGTTTGGTCGGAGCTAGTCACGTGAGCTGGAATGTTGGCCATTCTTGAAGTCCGATTGCCCGATTGTCCTTCTCTTCCTCTTCCTCTTTCTCCACCTGAGCCCTCATATGCCCTCTCTCCTGCCGTTTGCCACATCTCACTGCGCCCTTCACGGTCTCTACAGCTTCATCCACCATTTCCGCCTTCGCGCGCCTCTCGTGTAGGCTTTTCTGCCCCGCGAAACTTCTCCAACGCCCGCAGGCGCGACTCGTCTCCAGCACTTCCGGCAAGCGCGTCGAGTCCGCCGCCAGCTCCAACACTCTTCGCCGACCACCGCATCTCCAGCGCATACTTCTGAAGCATCCACGGCGGGGCTGGCTGTTTCCACTCAAGATGTCGGACTCGGAGGACGATAAGCCACTTGTGGGTATGTTTTACCAGCGATGCGATCCCATGCCTGGAGGGCTGGATTTGGCTTCAGGCTTCACATCCCTCGGCCCTGTTACTCGGTCAATTTTTGCATACTTCTTTCTCAACATGGGCCTCTGCCGTCACCTCACAGGCCTCTGCATCTTTACACATGCTAGCTCAGCACATACTTGACTTCATCCAATTTTCTCTTCTCTTTCAAACATACCGCAACTTCACGTGCCTCATCACTAACACACTTCTGCAACAGCCAAGTCCAAACCGATTGTCTCAGAAGCCGACATGTCCAACGGCAACACGCCGAGCAAAGGCACTGCTTTGCCTGGCATCAGCATAGCCAATGGGCCCGTCGAGGAGATGGATATTGATAAGCCCATCACCAATGGCGTCAAGAATGGCATCACGAACGGCAAGCGGAAAGCCTCACTAGCCAATGGCAAGAGCTACAAGGACGAGAGCGATTCCGACGACGACGTGCCCCTGCAGAAGAAGCGTAAGACCGCAGCCGTCTCAGACGATTCCGATGATGAACCTATCGTAAAGAAGAAAACATCGCTGCCACCCAAAGTGACTGCAGCTCAAGTCGGCGAGGAATCGGGCGACGAACCGATTATCAGCAAGTTGCAGAAAGAGAAAGCTGCCATCGAGAAGAAGGCCGAGAAGGAAGCGAAGGCGATTCGGAAAGGCGAGGCCGCCGACGCGAAGAAGAAGGCCAAGAAGGTGGAGAGCGATGACGAAGACGACGTACCTCTTGCCAAGAAGAAGGCTACGGCCAAGCAGCAAGCAAAGAAAATCAAGAAAGAGGAGTCGGACGACGACGACAAGCCTCTGGCGAAGAAGGCAAAGAAAGCCGCACCTGCAAGGAAGACTACTGTCAAGAAGGAAGAGACACCAGCGAAGAAAGGCAAAGGCAAAGTCAAAGAGGAGAGTCCAGAGGAAGGTGAGGACGAGGAAGAAACATACGAGTGGTGGAATGATCCGATGAAGAGCGACGGCACAACCAAATGGACGACGCTCGAGCACAATGGTGTCGTGTTTCCACCAGAGTATGAACCTCTGCCAAGCAACGTCAAGATGCTTTACGACGGGGTGCCAGTGAGCATGCACAAGGATGCCGAAGAGATCGCACATGGTTTTGGAAGCATGCTCAACTCAGAGCACAACGTGCAGAATCCAACCTTCCAGAAGAACTTCTTCGCCGACTTCAAGGAGATGCTTGACAAGACCAGCCACGCCAAAGGTCCAGACGGCAAGACAGTCAAGATTACCAAATTCGAAAAATGCGATTTCAAGCCGATCTTCAACTATGTCGATGCTGAACGTCAAGCCAAGAAAGCGCTACCAGCTGCCGAGAAAAAGAGACTGAAAGCCGAAAAGGACGAGCTGGAGGCTCCTTACATGTACTGCATGTGGGATGGCCGCAAGCAGAAAGTCGGCAACTTCCGCGTCGAACCGCCAGGCCTCTTTCGCGGTCGTGGCGAGCACCCGAAGACTGGCAAGTGGAAGAAGCGCGTACAGCCAGAGCAGATCACCATCAACATCGGCAAGGAAGCTATGGTGCCAAAACCGCCGGAGGGCCACAAGTGGAAGGAAGTCAAGCACGACCAGGAGGGCACTTGGCTGGCCATGTGGCAGGAGAACATCAACAACGCGTACAAGTATGTCATGTTGGCGGCGAATTCCGACGTCAAAGGCCAAAGCGACTTCAAGAAGTTTGAGAAAGCTCGCGAATTGAAGAAGCATATCGACAGGATCCGCAAGAACTACAACAAAGAGCTCAAATCGAAAGTCATGGCTGAGCGTCAGCGCGCAACCGCAGTCTACCTCATCGACCAGTACGCTCTTCGTGCTGGCAACGAGAAGGGCGAAGACGAAGCCGACACTGTTGGTTGTTGCTCGCTCAAATTCGAGCACATCACACTGTCGCCGCCAAACAAGGTGGAGTTCGATTTCTTGGGAAAGGATTCCATCCGCTTCAACGAGATCATGGAAGTCGATCACCAGGTCTTCAAGAATCTAGGCCTGTTCAAGAGACCGCCAAAGAAAGCCGGCGACGAGATCTTCGATCGGCTTACGACTTCAGGGCTCAACAAGCACCTGGCACAATACATGCCAGGTCTCACGGCCAAAGTCTTCCGTACTTACAATGCCTCGTATACGATGTCTCAACTGCTTCAAGAGATGAAAGCTGAGGGCACCATTCCCGAGAAGGTCAAGGCGTACAATGATGCGAATCGCAGGGTGGCCATCCTCTGTAACCACAAGCGCACAGTTGCTGCAAGCCACGAGCAAACTATGGAGAAGTTGGAGGAGAAGATCAATGGTCTTCGCTACCAGCAATATCGAGTCAAGCAAATGATGCTCGCCTTGGAACCCAAGCTCAAGAAGAAGAAAGGCGAGGCTTTCTTTGCACTGCCTGAAGGTCTTAACAAGGAGTGGCAAGAGGCTCATCACAAGGCTCTCGTCGAGGCGGAGCAGCAGAAGATCGAGAAGAAGTTCAACAAAGAGAACGAGAAGCTTGCTGCGGAGGGCTCCAAGGCAATGAAACCGAAGGAGCTCGAGGAGCGAATGGAGGTGGCGAAGGAACTGGAGGCGAAGCTCAAGCAGGAACTCAAGCGCGGTAAAGTCGAGCCTGAGGGCAAGGCAGCTTCCGTCGACAAGTACGAAAAGGACATCGAAAAGCTGGACGCCCGCATTGCGAACATGATGACGCAGGCCGAGGACCGCGACAACAACAAGGAGGTCGCCCTGGGCACTTCCAAGATCGTAAGTGCCCGAAGCCTGCACGATTGCATGAAGGAGCTAACATTCCGCAGAACTACATCGATCCTCGTCTCACCGTCGTATTCTCGAAGAAGTTTGATGTGCCCATCGAGCGCTTCTTCTCGAAGACGTTGCGGGAGAAGTTCGAGTGGGCCATCAAGTCGGTCGATGGCGACTGGGAGTTCTAAGCTCGCAGCCAGGTGTCTCCACACCACACGGACTTTCGACACGATCGGCGGCATCTTCCATGCATGAGCAGTGAGCGCTTTGGGGTCTAGCGGGTGTGCGCGGGTGGCGAGCGATTCTGAATTGCGGCACGGCGTTGAGATGGACTGCCACAGTCTGAGCTCGATATAGAAGGGATAGGGCGGCCTGGATCAATGATACCCATACTGCCACGTGTAGGACAAGGCGGAGATGTATCTTAAAAAAGCAAGCAATCCTATTACTATGGCATATCCCTTGCTCAAGTTCTCTATTCCTTCTTGATCTCTGATATATCTTGGGTGGGATAGGTCTTGGTGGAATCTCGAGCTATTCTCGTGATTCGCAGATGGTGTCGATACTAGCGGCATTTAGCGCGTGAATATCATCGGGGACTAAACTCGGATGAAGTAATTCGCCCCAGTCCGCCCCTGCATCGTCTCTTTCTCTCATCGGACTTCACTTCTCTCCTCTACAGACAAAAGACAAACGACAAGATATCGCCATCAAAGTGCGAGGATCTCTATCATCACCATGTCTTCGCCATTCTGGATCACGGGCGCTCTGCTCGGCGCGAGCTCTGTCGCGTTTGGAGCTTTCGGAGCACACGGATTGAAGAGTCGAGGGATTGAAGTATCGAAGATCACCAGCTTCCAAACGGCCGCTCACTACCAGGTAAAAATGCGTCCTACCATGTCATGTATGAAGCCAACTATGAGACGGACGGACAGCTGATTATGATCATGATTAGTTGATTCATTCGCTCGCTCTCCTGGTGGCGGAACAAGCCGCACCGAAGAATGTGTGGGCGAAGAGTTTCTTCACGGCGGGGATTGCGATGTTTTCGGGGAGTATTTATCTGTTGGTGTTGGATGGGCAGCGGTTTAAGGCTTTGGGGCCTGTTACGCCGGTTGGAGGGGTCTTCTTGATGGCTGGGTGGTTGGCGTTGGCTTTTGGGACGAGGGGGAGGATTGCGCTGAGGTGAGGTAGTGTCAGGTCATGTCATGTAGTAAGGCGGACGGGCAGGCACAGCACACAGGGTAAAAGAAAGTCGGGCGGCAGGGTATCCAATGTTGGTCGGTTGGTTGGTTGGTTGGTTGGTTGGTTGGTGGCTGGGGTGAGTTTCACAAGAGCTGGAGGCTGATGTGCTGGTGCTCGTGAGCCTGATCTGGATGGATGAGATGCCTGACCCGTAGTTCTACCTTGTCCTACCCGTGACCCTACCACTTCCACCCCACCCCTCTCCGCTTCCAACCGCTTGGCGTCAACCACCTCTCTTCCATGAAACCTCATCCGCTTCTCACCCTCCCTCCACACATCCATCATCGCTGATCGGGAGCACCACCACCTGCACGTGGGCGGCTGTCAAGCCTACCCACTGCCGCCGCCGCCGCCGCCGCCAACATGTGTCACAAGCTGCTCTCCATCTACAACTGCCGCCATACCGAAGAGTCCGTCCGGAGCTGCAGCAAACGGGACAGCACCATCATCAAACAACGCTGTCTATCAGATCTCCGACTCATCAACCCAGACCAGCCCATCAAAATCCCCGGCATATGCTTCCAATGCAGTCGCGAGCCTTTCCGCTTCATGGACCTGCCCCGGGAACTCCGAGATATGATCTACGCCTCTTGCGTCTCCGACTGCGAAGCTCCGAGAGCATACCACTGGCCTCGCGAAGAAAGCTCTACGCGTGTTGTCATCCGAGGCAAGCCATGGATGGGTCTCCTCCTCAGCAACCATCAGCTCTTCCGCGAATATCGCGCTCGCATCGTCAAGGGCGTCGAAGTCCTCTTGGTGGATCATTTCCGGCAAGGCATGGCCCTCGATGCCCCGAAACTCCATCCGAACCTCTCCAAGGCGCCGATCCATTTCCGTCTCCTCCTGCTCGCGCCGTGTGAGCGGTGCGAGAAAGGCATGATCCACGCCCACTGCTACGTCAAGGATGAATTCAACTGTCAGCAACGCTGGGTCCAAACCTTCTCCGAAGACTTGGGAAATCCGAAAAGCCTCCGCGTCAGGTTTGATGTCTGGTGGCCACCCAAGTTCGGGGACGGGGAGATCCAATGGCCCGATACGCCACACATGGCGTTCAGAATGGAAGAGAGTGCGCAGAATTTCGTGCAGGTGGAGAAATTGACGGAGTTGGAGATTTGTCGGATTCGTGGGACGGCGGAGTTGAAGGAGGGGACTAATGGATTGCAAATGGAGCAGAAGAATCAGGATTTGGTGGCGAGATGGACGGCGAGTGGGAAATGGTAGGTTCCTCGCCCGCCCCATTCTCCATGTAAGTGCGATGGGCTAATTTGTTTCACTGAAGGCAAATACCAGAAACCCAACCCAGCGACGAAACCCAGAGAAAGGACTCCGTGGTATCTGTCCAGAAATAAAGTCGAGCCTCGCGGCTGACTACTGGCACCTCCAAAGGAAGAAAAAAAACTCAAATCTCAAATCTCCAGGATGTGCGTTACAGATCTGTCGAATCTTTGGCCAGAAGGACTTCAGCGAAAAGACTCCAGTGTGCGGTATCAAAGGGGGCAGATGTATCGTTATTTCAGACTATACCAAACGTACCCTCTTCATGTCTGATTGCGGATGGTCTTCACGGTCGTGCAAAGCATCGTCTCCTTCTGTGAGAAGAGTATCCTAGGGATTTGACGTGCAGTTTATGGTGTGAGGATCGCCATTAGGAAGCATACGTGCTGTGGAGCACTCGCTTCGATCGCCATTGGGGTCGCAAACGCTGCGCTGTTGCTCATATTCTTCCTGTTTCCGATGATTACGAGTAGATGGACTTCTCTTCGGCGTCCATCAGCCAACGGAAGAAATGTCGTTAACAGTTTCCTCGAGGCGAATGCGAATCCGGCAGTTGCACTTACCTCGCGTCTTTCGGCCAATCTGATCCTATCAGTCATGTCTGATATGCGATGCGAGCGCCGGATCTGCCCGCCCGCTTTATCCGATAGATCCAAGCTTACGAGCCGCTACGGAACGGAACGGATATAGCCGGCTGCCGTGGGGTTCGTTATCCTGCACTGTACCTGTGTCATATATCGACTCCTTGTATTTTTCTGCCCGAATGTCAGCGATACCGGCCTGCATCTGCTACCTAAGGTAGACATCTCTGACATATCTGCCGGCGCCTTTGCCCCGCTCGGTCTCAGTACAGACAGAACGAGCAGACGGCGAGTATGTCCGCAATCTTCGTACGAAATGCAAGCAGGCATTCGGCTTTTGCTCTGCCGAAGCTGCATGGAAGTAGAGCTTCGACGCGCGCCCTCAGCTGCTACTCCTCCGCCGCCGGCAAGCAGAGCGCCTGGTGTAGATATCAATTCCAGAATGCCCGCCGATATGACAGACAGATTTCTTCTAGGACAACTGCGTGGGAGAGGAGGAGATCGTCTGCAACACCCAACACCGTCCGACAGTACAGCAGCTCGACCAACATGGCCTCCTCCCTAGCCGACATCAAGGACAATTGCCGCAAGGTACAGACACCCAAAAAAAAACCCCCCCCAAATGCCTCTTCCATGTACAACACAGACCTAACCCTCCCTCTCCTACTACTAGGTAATCTGCATCGGCCGCAACTACGCCGACCACGTCACCGAACTCAACAACCAACGCCCCAAACAACCCTTCTTCTTCCTCAAACCCCCCAGCGCCATCCTGCTCCCCTCCGAAGGCCCCGTCCTGCGCCCCAAGGGCGTCACCCTGCACTTCGAAATCGAACTCGCCGTCGTCATCGGCAGAACTGTCAAAGACCTCGACGAGAACGACACGGAAGCCTGGACGGGCGCCATCGACCAGTACCTCCTGACGATCGACATGACGGCGCGCAACGCCCAGGACGAAGCCAAGAAAAAAGGCCTGCCGTGGGATATCGCCAAGGGCTTCGACACCTTCCTGCCCATCGCGGGGCCCATTTCCAAGGCGAAGATTCGCGATCCGCATAATGTGGAATTGTGGCTGAGTGTGAATGGACAGGTGAGGCAGAGGGATAATACGGAATTGATGCTGTTCCGCATCGGGAGGCAGCTGAGCGATATTTCGAAAGTCATGACGTTGGAGAGGGGGGATATTGTCCTGACGGGGACGCCGAAGGGTGTGGGGCCCGTTGTTACGGGGGATGTGATGGAGGCGGGGTTGAGGGTCGATGGGGAGGAGGTGGAGGAGGCGAGGATACGGGTGGAGGTGAAGGATCGTGAGGGGCCGTATGAGTATGCGGAGACGTAGAGAGGTGGTATGTATAGAGGTCTTGATGATGAATCAACTGCTTGTATGGCAAACCGTCCATGGACGCTGTACCGAAAAGCTGCACTTCCCTTGATCTTCTACCATTAGCTTATTCTTCATCATCGCTGTCGCCTCCGAATCCAAAAGAGAAGCCACCTCCACCCCCTTCGTCCCGGCCGCCTCTGGTGAGCTCCTCCCAGCCCTTCCCAATCTTGCTCACTCTCTCTAGTTCCTTCATCCCGACCTCCAGCAGCTCCGGGTCCTGCTCCCGCAACCGCTCCACGAACAGGCCGTACGGATCCTCCACATCATCGCTGAAGCCGCTGATACTTTGTTTCTGATCACGCAGGAAATGCAGTACGGCGCCGACTCTGTTCCTCGGGACGAGATTCTGGGTGATAGCAATGCTCGCTTCCAGGTTCAGCACGAGATGATACCAGCCCGATGGGACGTAGAGAATTTCGCCTTCGTGGCAGATGCCTTCCTTGCAGCCGGGTGTCTTGCGTGCTTCGGCGTGGAAACCGAGAAGCCATTCGGCGATGCTCAGGGGGCTGGTGACTTCGCTCTGGTCTTCGGAGACGTAGACGCCGGGAGGTGGTGGGATGGATGGCGATGAGGGGAACATGATCCAATATTTGCTTCCCCTGATGACGGCGTTCCATGCTGAGGTTGCATTTGGGTCTTTGTGGAAAGTGCTTCCGCTTCTGTCGGGTCCTACGATGAGCCAGCGGTGATCTGGTCGCTGGTTTCCGAGAACTGAGAAGGCGTCTGGGCCATAACAGGTGGGCGGCCAGTAGTCTGCGTCCTTGCTGGAGTCGGCAGAGACTGTGAGGTCCATCTTTTCCGCGAACGCTCGGTCGAAGAGGTAGAGAGGGCTCTCTTCCTGGCTGTTGTTCATGTATTCGATGTACGTCTTTAGTGGCCAGTCGACGGCTTCTGCACGGAATCGTACGTCGGCGTACTTCTCCAACAGAACGTCGGTCGACCATGTCTTGTATACTGGCCACCGCTTGACCGGTTCCGTGAGTATGAACGGCTGATGATACCAATCTGCTGCGAACTCTTCGTATGAGAGATCGGGAAGGCGCGGAATCTCATTCTTTCGAGGTATATCTTGAGCGTATGGGTGCAGAGGTACGTGAGCGCAGAAGAACGGACGATGCAGCACATCTGAGAAGAGATTGGAGCAGTCTACGCGGGGCTCTCTACTCGACGGCTGTGAGAGATACGTGGAGCGCCATGTCCTTTGCCATGTGAAGTTCTGAGGGGATGACCTACCGAATGCACTCAGCAAACTGCTGAGCGAGCGTGTGGCGTGCGGCACATGGCAGTGACTCAACGCAGGACTTTAGAATGACTTACTCGACAAACAAGGCTCTCCAGAGCTCCTCGTTCCTGGTGAATGCGTGTAATGCTCTACACGTGCCACCTAGTCGTAACAGATCTTTGGCATCTAGGATCTCCAGGACTTGCACGATGAGCTCGTCCGGAAGAGTGGCAAAGGTTCCGGACGCAGCCTTCAGGTTTTCTGAAGACGTCAAAGCATTGCCAGAGGGCCGTATACCGAGAGGATGCCGGCGAACAAGCGTACTGTCCTCGCTCTCTTTGCCCTCAGGATTGAGGCTCGTGGCTGCTGCAGCCGCTGCCAATTTCGAGCGCTTCACCGGCCGCTGTTCTGGTGACTCATCGGCGTCGCCGTAGTCGACTCGGTGGTACGAGTGAATATTGACCGTCATGATTGGTCACCCGGTGTGTTGCGAGTATGACGGGAGATACACGCTGCAGGTCAATTGCCACGGCGAAGTAAATCTATGCGCGTCACGGCTCACGTGATGAGGAACCTTATTTCCAAAATTTCTGAAGCGCCGTAAAAAGGCAGCCGAGTGCTTTCTTTCTTCTCCCCCCCCCACACCACACACAATCGCAACAACTGAGAATCACCCGCACACTAGAACCTTTCGACTGTCGCTACAGACAGTCAGGTATCTAGTCTTTCAGCACACCTCACCAGCAAACGCGCGGCGGCATCCTACGAGGACCCCCGCCCACCCACACACCGAACTTCCACCCGCTCACTGCGCCAGCGCCAGTGAGCTGCCGTGCCCGAATCGCAATCATGGCTGACAAGGGACTTGAGGACATCGATGCTGGTAAGTAAGAGCAGCGCATTTCCGAACCGTAGCGGCGGCGAGAGTATCAGGTCCAAGAGGTAGACGAGCATGCAAGAGATAGGAGGGGCAGAAGAACGATATTGGTGTGCGCACAAATTTCGACGGCGACAGCAACTGACAGCGTGCAGGTCAGATCGAGTCCAACTATGACGAGACCACCGACAGCTTCGACGCGATGAACCTCAAGAGCGAACTCCTCCGTGGAGTGTACGCCTACGGTTTCGAGCGTCCATCTGCCATCCAGCAGCGTGCCATCATGCCTGTCATCAAGGGTAAGTACCTCTCCTCGAGTACTCGAGACCTCGACTGGTAGGACTCGGGCTCACACATTCACAGGCAACGATGTCATCGCCCAGGCCCAGTCCGGTACCGGCAAGACCGCGACCTTCTCCATCTCCGTTCTCCAGAAGATCGACCCCAACATCAAGGCCTGCCAGGCTCTCATCCTCGCCCCAACCCGTGAGTTGGCTCAGCAGATCCAGAAGGTCGTCGTTGCCATCGGTGACTTCATGAACATCGAGTGCCACGCCTGCATTGGTGGTACCAGCGTGCGGGACGACATGAAGGCTCTTCAGGATGGCCCACAGGTGGTTGTCGGCACCCCAGGCCGTGTCCACGACATGATCCAGCGCCGTGTCCTCCGCACCGACAGCATGAAGATGTTCGTCCTCGACGAGGCTGACGAGATGCTGTCCCGTGGTTTCACTGAGCAGATCTACGACATCTTCCAGCTCCTTCCGCAGAGCACCCAGGTCGTCCTTCTCTCGGCCACCATGCCCCAGGACGTCCTTGAGGTCACCACCAAGTTCATGCGTGACCCAGTCCGCATCCTCGTCAAGAAGGATGAGCTGACCCTCGAGGGTATCAAGCAGTTCTACATCGCCGTCGAGAAGGAGGACTGGAAGCTGGACACCCTCTCCGACCTCTACGAGACCGTCACCATCACCCAGGCCGTCATCTTCTGCAACACCCGCAGAAAGGTTGACTGGCTCACCGACAAGCTCACTGCCCGTGACTTCACCGTCTCGGCCATGCACGGAGACATGGACCAGGCCCAGCGTGACGTGATCATGAAGGAGTTCCGCTCTGGCTCTTCCCGTGTCCTGATCGCCACCGATCTCCTTGCTCGTGGTATCGATGTGCAGCAGGTCTCCCTCGTCATCAACTACGACTTGCCGGCCAACCGCGAGAACTACATCCACCGTATCGGACGTGGTGGCCGATTCGGACGTAAGGGTGTGGCCATCAACTTCGTCACTGCTGACGACGTGCGCATGATGCGTGAGATCGAGCAATTCTACAGCACTCAGATTGAGGAGATGCCGATGAACGTGGCCGACCTCATCTAAGCACACTACATCCTTCCCCACGACACGACGTCTCCCGTTCGACTGAGTCCGAGGCCTCGGCAGCTTTGGATTGACAGGGTCGGACGGAGCGACACTCACCCACCTCACGCACCGGTTTCTGCTTTTACACAGCGCCTGACAGCGCAAGGCGCGCACTGACGAGCGCGTGCTGCGCGCGACGATGACGATGGATATGCATGGCCAGGGCGGAGTTTCTGCAGGAGCTTACTGTACAGGCTTCCCGAAAACGCGTTCACGTTTGTTTCTTAGAGGGGCGTACTCGGGCTGTGTACTACATGCGATCAAAATGTTTCTTTTGCGACTACATTGCGACTTTGTTCGTAGAGAACCGCGAGTACTTGATTGGAAAACTGAACTTCTCCGTGCCTTCTCCTTTCGTGTGGTAAGTGGGGGACTGGTTGCTCCTTCCTTCCCAGATTTCTTGTGACTGAAGGTGGGTCCTGGACTTCTCGTCGTTCCAAATTCTCTTTCGCATTCCATTTCTCGTGCTTCAACAAGACGATTCCTCTTCTGTTACTCATTTTCCAAGACAGAGATCGCCACTTCTGGTCGGCGCTCAATGCCTCCCACACCTGACCTGCACAGCCAAGGAAAGAGCGACCCGTGATGGCGCCGCCGAAGAAAAGCACGGATGACATCGTACCACCAGCAACATCGCCTTCGGGACTCCTTTGGGCGTGTCAGATGAAGCGCGAGAACGCTGCCATCATGAGCCGAATGCAGAAGCTCGAGTCGGAACTTGGTCGGGTCGAAACTAGTACTAGCGCCCGCGATGAGGGTAGCGAGAAGATAAAAGGACTCGAGAAGCGAATTGATGCTCTTTCGAAGAAGAACGAAAAGGATCGCGAGCAGCTGGGGAGGGAATCGCGGGAGCGATATCAGGATCTGCAGGGCGATGTGAAGGCCATCACTACACGAGTTGATGCTCTGGGCGAAGGGCTGGCGGTCGTCAAAAGGTTTGAGGAGGAATTGCGGGAGTATGAGTTGACGTTGTTTGAGCTGCAGCGTTTTGTCGATGAAGAGAGATTTGGGGCCCTCAGGGAGATGTTGGCGGATATGAAGGAAAGATTAGATGGACGCGACAAGGAGAATGAGGACGTTCAAGAGAAGCTGCAAGTTTTGGAAGGGGCTACGCAGAGTCTGAAGGAGGTCTGTGAGGATTTGAAGGGCCAGGTTGAGAACATTGCTGCAAAGCCTGTGCGGCAAGTGCCCGTAGCAGGAGGGCACGGTATTACTGATGGCCGAGCATCAGGTATGCTTGAGATACCAGCGCCGAAGAAAGCAGCCGCAAAAAAGGGGACATCGAAGGATGCCGCTGTTCGCAGCGCGCCGACAAATGCAGCGAACAGTGTTGCCGCCCCGAAGGCACGAACGACTAGGGCGACAGTGGCTGTCGACACCACTCAGATCCAGGACCCAGCGGCTCCCTCGCCAACCCTTTCAACCAAGGAGAAGAAGTTTGTCGGCGCTGGACGAGGACGAATTGAGATTGCACGTACGCCGAGCAATGAACCAGGAGGAGACGTCGAGAGCAGCGGGGTTGATTTCGTAGCGTAAGTCATGCCTCAAATGCTGGTAGTACGGACGATATACTGATGTTGAGAAACAGTCCAAACGGGCGGCGTGGTCGCTGCGCGCGAGAGACAAAAGTCGTCAATCCGACCGAGGAGCCGGTATCAGCCAAGCGTGGTCCCGGTCGCCCAAGGAAGAATAAGGCTCAGCTTGCCTCTTCTGCGTCCAAAGGAAAGGAGCCGGCAGAGATACCAGTAGCAGTAGCTCGCGGCACCAAGCGCAAGGCCGAGGCCGGAAACGAAGAACCCGCTGCTCGGATCACCAGAAGCCAAGCGCCAAAGGAGCCATCCAGCGAAGGACAGGATGATCAGCAAGAGCCTGAATCAGTCGCCAACCCGCAGCCCAAATCGAAAAATGCGACAGTACAGCCAGCTCCTCGTGTCGCCCGCGGTCAAGCAGTGAAGAGACCAGCGGTTGAACATGATGAGCCAAATGAGGGGCCGACCAACATTCCAGAGACTCCGCAATCAAGACCTGCCGTAACCTCTGGCGTCGCACAGAAGTCAAAGCGCACCATCGTTCTTACTCCGTTGCCGCAAGAGGGCCAACAGTCTCATCGAAAGGGGAAGCAAAAGAAAGGCAAGCAGAAGCTGCGCTGCGGTCCTGCGAATCGCTCCAGCTCACCACCCTCCACAGCGCCAGAGAATCAAGGCGGTCCTATGCGTCAGCCGGACTTCTTGGGTAAGGGACAGAAGCCCAACAGGGTGGATCAAGTAACTGCTCAGGTGACGACGGAGAACCTGACTGTTGGAAGACCGACGAAGAAGCGTCGAAGTCTTCTGCGGGATGACGAGAAGGACGAGGAGCTCCTGAAGAAGTACAGTAATTGGACGGATTAGATGACACTCGCGGACGAGACGGCGTTGCAATGTGGTGGTATCACTTCGATTCTTGGTTCCGTGGCGCCGCAAGGACTTATCACCTGTTCAGCCCTAGAGACACAGATCAATGTATAACATATCCTCCCGATAGGTATAGAACTCGTCGAAAACTTCCCCTTCACCTGACCATCCGCTACTCACCTAGCGACCTTCCTCTCTCTCAACCGACAAGGCATCCCCTCGGAAGGCTTCGCCGTCCCCCTCTGCACCTGATACGCCCTCTCCCCAAACTGCCTCAGCACCCCCTTCCTCAGACTCGGATACCCACTCCCATCCCCGGCCAACTCGCCCACCTCCTCATACGCCGCGACGAAATCAAACCTCCTCAGAATCATCGCCAGAATCACCTTGGTCTCCATCAGCGCCAATTCCTGCCCGATACAATTCCGCGGCCCTTTGGAAAAGGCGATCCACGCGGCGTGCGTCTGTCGATTGTAGATTTCCGAGCCAGGCAGGAAACGCTCCGGGTTGAAGGTGTGTGGGTCGGGGAAGTATTTGGCGTGGCGGTGGAGGCCGGTGTCGAGCAGGAAGAGCATGAAGTTTTCCGTCGGGTAGCGTTCGCCTGTTTCCGGGTTGTGGAGGAATTCTCTGTTGGGAGTGAGGGGGGTTTTGGGTTAGCGTTTGGGGGTTTTTTTGGCTGGTGTGCTTGCATGTGAAGGGCTCTCGGAAGCGGGTGCGAATGCGTCGGGACTGGTGAGATTTCTTGGCAGATTCCAAGGTTGTCTCGAGTCTCCTGAATGTTGCTAGGGTTCTCAAGAAGACAACAAGCTTCCACTGGGGGAGGACATGGTAAGATTGGGTGAGAGACTTACCCAGGGAGACCTGCTCGGATGGAGCTCGCTGGAGGCTGGATTCTCAGCACCTCTTTGGTGACGGCGAGGGTATAGTCCAGTTTGTTCAGGAGGTGAGGCTCCTTGCGTAGCTTGTCGGCGACTTGGTCTGGGTCGGGACCAAAGACCTCGTCGTGTTCTCGGCGGATTCGAGCGAGAATATCGGGATGTTGGCTCAGATAGTAAAAGGCATAGCCTACAAGGCAAGGGGTAGAAGGTGAGCAGGTGTCGAAGGCATATCGGGAAACCCTCCGGGAAATCGCCTCACTTACAAAGGACGCTACTTGTGGTGTCGTGGCCGGCGAAGATGAAGGTCTTCATGTTGCTGATGACGGATTGCTTGAATTCCGGGTCCACTTCTTTGATGTCTTCGGCCTTGCCTTCCAGACCCTTCACTTCTTTCATGTACGACTCGAGGGCCAGGTCGACGACGTGCTTCGTCTTGCCTCCGCTCGTTCGAGCGGCGAAGCGCTTGTCTAGGAGATCGCTCAGGTACTTGTTCATTTTCCAGTTGTTGTACTTGAGCATGATCGGTCTGCGGATGTCCCAGAGCTCGCTTGGCTGGAATTGCACACCCAGATATGACCAGCTCGTCTGGCTGTTGAAAGCATCCAGCATCACGTTCCGTCCCCTCTGAGCGTTGAAGTCAAGGTCTAGGACAATCTTGCCGATGATGTTGACTGTCAACTTGGTGGTGGCCACCTCCATGCGGAAGACTGTGTTGTTCCGGGCATTCTCAGCCATGATGTCGCAGAAGGTTTGACACTCATCGACAATCATCGGGACGGTGGTCATGAGGTGAGAGGTACTGAAGCCGGGGTTGAAGGCGGCTCGCCATTTCTTCCACGTCTGACCCTCGCTAGTGACGAGGTTGCTACAGGCAATTAGCCATTGTTCGTACACGGATCCTGTCTCTCGTACCCTGGCCCTCCGAAATATTGCATGAAGTCGTCGGTCAGTGGATGCTTCGGGTGTGAATTCTTGATGGCGATCTCGTTGTAGATATCAAGATCGTTGATGATCATGATCGGTGGACCCATTGGCCATGTATCAACATAGTAGGTGTCCGGCAGATCGTAGTAGTCTTTGAGCGCTCGGAAGGATGCTTGAGGAGCAGCGTTTGGCGGTTGTGTGGCGAAGGCTTTGCCCATGGAAATCAGGGATCCGAATGCATAGCTTCTTGGTGGTCCGGGCAGGCCTTTCAAGAGGGAGCGCTGGTAGTGGAGACGGATGAAGAAGCGAATGATTACAGTCAGCGCAACGAGCGCGACCGCCCAAGTGGCGGAAGGCGGGAGACCCAGCATGATGGACAGTCAGTATGGCGAGGGATATGGAGAGGATGCAGTGGCGAACGGAAGCATACGCTGACTTTGATATGACAGAGAGAGTCGAATAACCATTGATTACATGGCCATGCAGCAAGAGTCAGCGAGTCAAGGCTTGTGATCCGGGTTAGGGTCTTGGCAAATGAGTGCATTGGGCAACAACCAGAGATTTGTGCGAAGAGGCACGACTTGTGCAAGTCAGATCCGGTGGTATGGCAATGCATGCATAGCTTTGATGGGAGCCTAGAGACGGACACGAAAGGGGAAAGGGTTTCGCAGCAGTAATAATGAGGGAAAAGACTGTCTCGTGAAAAGGCCCGTGCTCGAGTTAATGACGTTCGCTTCCCGGGCGTTTGCTGGTGGCCCCTAAAGGCAGCTGTGGTCGAAGTCAACCTACAGCAGGAGTGCACATTAGGTAGCCAAACAACTTGATCCACTATACACACACACACACACACACACACACACACACACACACACACGCGACCCGCAATACGGACAAAAGATCCATTTCCGCCACGACCATGTCACGTGATACTGCATAGACGAGGAGATGGATTCGGACTCGGAGTACGAGCAGCAGCTGTCGCAGGATCGGCGGGCGTCTGCCAGACAGGGATTAGCCCCAGCCCGCGAGCTCCAACTTGGTGACGATGCTGGCACATGGGACGTCGACCTCTTTGCTCCTGCGCAATCATCCACTCAACAACAACAACAACAATTTCCCTTCCACATACCACCCGAAGAATATAGCGAACCATCTTCCTCGCCCGCATCCTCCGCACCCGGCTCTGTCATCAGCCTGAACTCCCACCAATCCGAACGCGCAGACGAAGCCGACGACGACGATTTCGAGCTCATCCACGATATCCAAATCCCACAAGCCAGCTTTGACGGAACTGCTGAGCACAATCTTCCCGGACACAGCGACCCGTACCATCGCACCATCCGCGAGCTGAATACGCAGTACTCCTCCGCCAGGGAGCACATCAGCGCTTTTGCTGAGCGTATCTACAAGCCTGCTGTGCCAGGCACCAGCATTATGGAGGGCAGGAGCAGCAATGACTACGACAGCCCGGACTGGCCGCAAGCTGGTGAGAATGCGGACCCGCAAGACCTGGCTGGTCCAGGAGCAACTGGCCGGTTAGAATGCAACGTCAGGGATCCGCAGAAAGAGGGCGAGGGCACTCAGAATCCATATGTTTCCTACCTGGTGACGACGGATACCGATTTCAAATCTTTCCAATCTTCGCATGTTGCTGTCCGCAGGCGCTTCACGGATTTCGCTTTCCTCTATAGGACCTTGGCAAAAGAGTATCCGCAATGCGCAGTCCCACCTCTTCCGGACAAACAAAACATGTCGTACGTCCGAGGAGACCGCTTTGGTCCCGACTTTACTGCCAGGCGGGCGTACTCACTGGCGAGGTTTCTCAAACGCCTATCTCTTCATCCCGTTTTGCGTAGAGCTACGGTTCTGACGCTATTCTTGGAGTCGAACGATTGGAACACCGTCATGAAGTCACGGCCGAATCGAGGCATGAGCAGCAGTGAGACCGCGAATAGTTCAGTGTTGGAGAGTTGGACGGACAGCTTCTTGAACGCGTTCACCAAACCGCACAAGACGGATAAGCGCTTCCAAGAGGTCAACGATCGTGCGGGCAAATTGGACGATGACCTTGGGACTGTCAGCAAGACTGTCGCTCGCGTAGCTAAGCGCGAGGGTGATCTTGAAGCGGACTATGCAGACCTCGCAACACAATTTCAAAAGCTTGCAACTCTGGAGCCAGGCGTGCAAGATGAGCTCACGAAATTTGCGACCAGCGTGCAGAATACAAGCGAGGGCTGGAAAATTCTCAAGGACCACACCGATCAGGATTATCTGGGCTCACTGAAGGACATGGAGGCTTATATAGCGTCAGTGAAAGCTCTGTTGAAAACACGAGAGCAGAAGCAACTGGACTTCGAGGGTCTGACGGACTATCTCAACAAAGCAGCACAAGAGCGCGACAACCTTGCCAGCCACGGCTCAATCGGTGCCTCTGGCTTTCTGAGACAGAAGATTGAAGATGTGCGAGGTGTGGACCACGAGCAATCCCGACGCGAACGAGTACGAAAGCTTGAGGTGCAGATTAGCCGCCTACAGACCGAAGTGGAAAATGCCAAGAAGACAACGGAAGCATTTGATGAGGAAGTCGACAAGGAGGTGTCTGACTTTGAGCGGATCAAAGCTGTCGAGTTCCGCGACAGCCTGGGTGGAATGGCCGATGCGAACATCGACTTCTTCAAGAACAATATCGACGTGTGGGAGCGCTTCATCTCGGATATGGAGAAGCAGCAAGCAGAAGCCGCGGCGGCGCAGGCTGCGTGAGTAGTATGGAGTCACTACTACTTCTTGTGTAGTGAGACAGAATGGGTGGACAGTAATGTTTAAACGAAAATTCCTCCCGATATCATAACTTCATACCACGTCCGGGTGCCAATATCAACAAACAGATCGCTTTCCACCCTCCAGATAGCCCGTAAGTCGTACTTCCGGTGCTCCTTGACTTCTCGCCTCTGGCCACTTCAGCGCAACTAGACCCAAATCCCGATTTCCCTTGGGAGCCATTCAAAAGCTGTTCCGAGACAGTCGCTCCAGCCGATCGGGCCGCCTGATATCGCACCGCAGTATTGCCAGCAGTCGGCGGGAATTTTGAGAGTGTATTGTCTGAGGCGCAGTATTGGATTGGATCTGAGAGGATGGAAGGGCCTGGGCAGGAGATTCCTTCCGTAGAGGGGTGTGGTGATTGTGTGCCAGTTTGGGGAGGACAGGTCCGAAGGGAGAGGCTGCAGTTTGATAGGGGTTCGGTTCGTGGTCGGTTCGTGATCGGTGTGTCCTCTTTCTCAGAAGGATGGTTGAGGATCGGATCGTGAGGGCCGGAGAGGATATCTTTTGGTTTCTTCTCGGTTTTCGAGAGCATTTTTGTTCCCAGACGAGGAGAATCCGCGAGAAGCAATGAGTAGGCGGGTGGATTTTGGCAAAGACCGATTGTACATTTGTCTGACTCTAACCAAGGAGGTTGCAGGTATGAAAGTGCAGTGATGCGAGGTCTATTGTCTAAAGTAGTCGTTGTGCTGTTCTTCTGCCCTGTGGCTGATTATACGATCCTTCCGTGGAAGGTAGAGGGACGAGAACGGATCATTTGGGCGACGTTTGTTACATTGAGGAATGCATGGCGACAGATTTGCTGCCATGGCTTTAATGCGATGGCGTCTAATGCCGTGTAGCGCGAAGAGAATAATGGCATAGGCATTTCTTCAGTCAAGAGCCATTGTCTCGGATACCGGCTCGTCTTCGGGACTGAATTCAAGCTTTATATACGTGTTTCCCACCACTCGCCCCATCTTCAACCAATCAGATTGGCACTTTGGCGGAGTGGTTAACGCGCGGGCCTGCTAAGCCCGTCTCTTCGGAGGCGAGAGTTCGAATCTCTCAGGTGTCGTCAAGGATGCAACAATTCTATTTGTCCCATCACGTCGTTGAAATTCTTTTTTTGGTGGTTGTTTTCAATATTCACTCCACCGACGCCAAGATTCTCGGTGCGGCAATGAAAAGATGGGAAGGTGCGCCGCTTTTGCCTTGCGACTTATACCGGAGTTTTGAGACTTTCAACGGGCGGTTCGTTTCGTTGCGAGATGGAAGGACTGTGAATGCAAGGGGCAGATTCCGACAAGCTGGACGTGTGGGCATCGATCTTAGCTATCGGAATAGGTTTTTGTCCAGAATGGAAGCATGACTTTTCGCAACTTTCTGAGCTGACCATAGCCTTTGTGATTTGGAGCGCATGAGTTCTGCACTGCTTTGCTAACGCTTATACGTACTACGACAGCGACTTTGGTGGCACGGTGACTGAGACTGAATGTACCTTAGTGACCACTTGCAAGCAGACTAGAATAACATTTCCGAACGTCAACACAGATATGTCTGCACAGGTATCTAGCAGCGAGCACGAGTCCATCCACTCGGATCCCCGGGGAGACATAAGGACAGAACATTGGCGAGAATCCCTCTCTCCTTTCACAGGGAATCGACGTTCCGTGCGACGACTTGAGATGATTTCCCCAACGGTATGCTTGGAAATCTTCCGGATGAAGCCGACTTCAGATCCGCAAATGAGACGACCGGGAACCATGAGGCCGACGCCGGTAGATTGCTGTCTCGAGGATACATCCCACGCTGAAAGACGACGCAGCCCGCCGTAATGAGGATCCCTCGACGACCGAGAAATTCTGCAGTAACATCTCCGGCTATGATGGCACCGGAGGAAGGACGGGCGGAGAGGCGACAGGTTCCAGACGCTCTGCGTTAGCCAGCAATATGCATAAAAGATTCATTGGAAGGTTCTCTCGAACAGATCCTTCGACTAGGCGCATAAAATCGGCGGGAAGCGGAGGACCTTGAATTAGTTGCCCATATCTCCATCGGCTGGCCAGTCGTTGCGCTCCCGCAGTGTTGATAGAATAGTAACAGCACAATTGTCTTGCAGTCCGGATGAATACACATTTCCCTCGCATGCTTCGTGGGCAGCAAGATGATACCGACGGAAGCAAGCCTATACCTACATTTGACAATAAGCTCTACATCTATCTTCGCAGGATACTTGTACAACTCGCGGACATTCCGTTCTCACCAGCATACATGCGGCCAGCAGCCAGAGTCTTGACGGGATGCGTCGTGAAGCAGCAATGTCCCGTCTCATCGACCGTCTCTGCTTCCACTTCTCCCCATTGCACCGGCAAGTAAGCGGCATCGGCATCATCCTTGGGTCGATGGCAAGCCGCAGCGATCGCCACTGAGCAAGAGCCCGCCACGGGCATTTGACTTTTGAACTTTCGAAAACCCATCGCAATCGCCACGAAGCTCAACAAGACGCCGATCATGATGGCAGTCAAGATGGGAGGACAGCTATACCCGACCGCAGAGACATTTTGAGAGGGCACTGGTTCGCCATCGTCGTAAACGTCGACCCGGACCAAGAAGATGCTCTGCGAGATGACCCAGTGCAGCGTCGATGAGATGACCAGTAACGGGGCGCTGTATCGGAGAGGAAGCTGCAGGTAGTAGGTACTACGCTGTGATGCCTGGGGAGCAGTGACTCTGAGCGCTTTGCGATGGAAAGCATAGTTGCACCCTTCCTGTGCCAGAAGGAGAGCAGTCATCAAGCCGTTGTAGAGCAGATACAGGAAGGAGACGATCGCCTGAGGGCAGTTTGCTAGAAGAACCGATGTCATGAGGCCAGAGCTACCCCCCGACGGAAAGCCAGCGCCGATAATGGCACGAGAATCGACGGCGCCCCAGCCAATGCTCCATGGCGACGCAGCGTAACCGCTCAAGTTTGATTCTCCCTCGCTGAGCAAGTAGCTGGACACGGCAACAGCTACCGCAATAAGGCTAAAGCACATTATCCATCGCTTTCCACTTACAGCAACGAACCATCTCCTGCCGCCGCTTTCGAAGTATGTTTTGGGCAGAGGTTGCGTGTTTGGGCTTTTTGTCCCGTCTTGGCTCCTCCAAGAAGAGATATCTTTGCGCTCCATGAGACACCTGCCCGCCGTCAGATCGTCGGGCCTTTCTAGGTAGCTTGCAACGGCGTCGCCGATGGTGACCAGTGTAGTCTCCTTCTGTCTGTACAACGCAAGGAACATGCAAATGCTCTTCATAGCGTTCATACAGATGACGGCCGCTAGAATTTGGACTGAGAACTGCACTGTACAGTGCTGAGGGGTAAGTCGGCTGAGGCAGTACTCTATTTTCTTCCCGTTGACAATCCAGTCCTGCTGTTTCAGAATGGCACTAGTATCGCAGTCTTCATTGGAGTTCGAGATGAAGTCATTGGCGCAGATACATTCATAACTGACAATCGAGCCATCGTCGAGACCTCCACCAGTCTGGTCGACGTAAAAGAGCGTCTCATTCGTGGTCGAGTTGCCAGGTTCATTCGCAATGGCCACAACATGGCTATTTCCTGAAACGAAGTTGGTGCCGTAGGTCGAAATGCATTCCGAAGTGCTCATGTTTTTGACCAAGGATGCGTCGTTTTGGTTTTCCTTGAACCACTTCTGGGCCTCCAGAAGTTCGTCCATACCGTCGAAATAATAGAAAATGTTGATCTCGGCGGTGTTTTTGTAACCCGGGGGGACGTCAGTCCAGTTCACCGCCGTTGAAAAATTCCCTCCTTCTAGCCAAACCGGGTTGGCCACGACTGGGATGTAAAGATTGGAAGCTATGCTTTTGAAAACCACGGAGTTGTAAAGCAAATGGATTGGGATGCTGCTCAGGGCAAGCACCATCCATAGGGCGGTCCGGTGCCATTTGATCTTGAAAAGATTTCGAATCGATGCGACTCCAATGTCCATCCAATCTCCTCTGGAGTGAGCTCGATCAACTTCTGCGCGAGTTGGTGCCACAAGAGCTTGCATGGTATAATTGCTTGCGCTCAGAAGCAGGGAAGACAGTCCGTTGATGAGAATATGGAGCCATGTGGTAAGGTAGTTTGCTCTGCTGCAAGAGCCCTGCAAGAGTCAGCATCCGCGGATGCTCTATACCATTGGGAGCCGGACGTAGTGCGTAGCGATCTCTCAGCCGACCGGTGACCTACCTCACATGCGGTACCGATCCCACCGTCCGATCCAAATCTTACTGCCGTCACGATTATAATGAGCAGGTTCAAGACCAGTACAACAGTCGCTGTCCACGCCGAGAGGCTGACTCCGAAGCGCCATCCATGTAGTTTCCTTCTCTTATTCTGATCTGAGACTGTCCTTGAGATGCTCTGAATCACGTGGGACACGGAGGTTCTCGCTCGCAGTAGGTCGAATCCTGAAGGCGTCTGGGCGTGTTCTGCCAATGCTGCCGTCTCACTGTCTTTCGAGTGGAGGCTCTCCTTGGTAGTAGAGACATAGCTTGGTGCGCTGAGAGTATGCTGATTAGCACTCGGTCGCCAGGCATCAGACGTAGCACAGTACGTCTTGATCTGCAGTAATCCTGTAGTACAAAAGACCGCAAGGCAAAGCAATGAGTGATTACACAGCCACTTACTGCGACTTCGGCAATTCCGTAAGCTCGATCGGATCATCTCGCCCCTCGTAGATGTCCTCATTCAGCGGATCGTAGTTGAAACCTTTTCCACCATCGTATGCGAAACCGCGGCTTCGTGAGTCCATCTCGTCGTTGCATACGGGCAGAGTGCGGCTTGACGTTCAAGTATAGGCGATGAGTGCGGACATGCGACGTTGTCGCGCAAACGCGCGAAGTGGTCTCGTGCATCTTCAGGAGGCATTGGAGGAGACATTGGAGGAGACATTGAAGGATGATTGAAGGATGAAGGATGCATCGAAGGATGCGTTACGGATTCACATGTATTTCGGGAGATGGCCCATGCCGAATTCGGCAAATCATCGGCGATGGAGCTTGCCATCATTTGGAGCGGGTTAGCTGTGTTGGCCAGGCTAGTCCATGCACTTCCTTCAGTAGTACTGTCTTCAGTACATCGGAGTCGGCTTCTCACGGCAATACAGATTCGCTGACATGTCACGCTGGTGGTAACGACAAGCTTCTCCTCACTCCATGCAGCTTTTGGCGGACCCCTCACGCACAGCCTCACATGGATCTGAATGGCTACGTACTGCTCTGAGAGACGATGCGATAGATGACGGGAGGGGCATCCGCTTGACCGTTGCGACTGGGCTGGATGAATTAATCATATGATATACCAACTGGCCATTCCACGCCAGTAACAAGGCGCCAATGCCACCATGGTGACCCAGCCGAGGAATGGTGCGCCTATCATCAAGGAGATCACTCCGCGTCCACACTCCGAGGATGGCCCCACGGTGCTGATTGTCGGTGCTGGCACTTTCGGAACCTCGACCGCATACCATCTAGCCAAGACATACAAAGATCCTTCGAAAGTGACGGTGGTCGATCGCGCCCCTTCGCCGCCGAAACCAGCAGCCGCCATTGACATCAACCGTGTGATCCGCACAGACTACCCGAGTCCTCTGTATTGCAATCTTGCGCATGAAGCTATTCATCCCTGGTTCTGGACGCAAGAGCTAGGCCCATTTTTCCACAAGGTCGGGTGGCTCTATCTCAATGAAGACGGCAGCGATATCTCCGAACGTATCAAAACCACATTCGAAGGCCGTGGCTCGAACTGCGCAGAAGATGTGCCATTGCGACAGCTAGAAACTCGCTGGAAGGGAGTCTTGAAAGACACTGAGAAACAAGGCTTCAATGAGGCATATTTCAACCCCGAGGTATGGACACTACGTTTCATCAGGAGGTGATCGTGGCTAATAGTTGTCTGCGCCCAAGGCCGGCTGGGTAAACGCTTCTGGCGCCACTGCGAGATTCATGGAGGCAGCCGTTAAGATGGGCGTAAAACGGGTGACTTCCGAAGTTCGAGAAATCCTACTGGACATCACTGGCTCACGAGTCAAGGGTGTACGCACCGCTGATGGCGATGCACTTACCGCGGACAAGGTGGTACTGGCGACTGGTGCATGGACAAGCTCTCTACTTGCGCCTGTGGAAGACGCGTTGAACATTCCAGAGCAGGATCGCATCGAACGCCAAGCAAAGGCTACCGGGACCGTTTCTGCCTACTACAGTGTCAACGATGAAGAGATTGATCAGCTCGAGTGTGCTGAAACCCCGGTAGTAGTCTACGGGGGCAACGGCGAAGTCTTCCCGCCTTCCAAAGGGAACAGGCTGATGAAGTTCTCCAACTCCAAGACGACGTTCACAAACACCGTCACGACGGATTCCGGTCACAAGATCTCTGTACCTTTGCAAGATCAATCATATGTGCCCGAGTCGCTCAAACGACAGACAAAAGAAATCATGGCTGACAAAGTCCTCCCAACTTTCGCCAAGAACAAAAAACCAGACTTCTGGAGAGTATGCTACGACGCGCAAACTCCCACCGAGGACTTCTTGATGTGCAAACATCCTCACGCGAAACTGGGCAATCTTTATCTCATCACAGGCGGCAGCTTCCACAGCTACAAGTGAGCTTCTTGAAACAAACCAAAAAAAAACAGACATGTACTGACAATGTCTTATAGATTCATGCCAATCATTGGCAAGTACATGCTCAACGTCCTCAAGGGCGAGAGCAACGGTCCGGAGAAAGACCAGGCTTGGGCGTGGAAACAGAATGTAAACTGGACTGACGTCCGCGAGTTCGGATTGCTCAGTGGCAAAGCTGTCGCCAAGCGAGAGCTCAAAGATCTTGAGAGTCCTCTGGCGAAGCTTTGAGATCGGCCGGTACTACTGCTCACTTTGTTTGCGTTCCTTGATGAGGTTATTTTCAAGGTCCCCGGTCACCTTTGTTGCCCTCCAGTAGTAGCTTTCAAAAGCAATGCTAGGGTTCGTAGAGAACGATATCTACGGGCGGGATAGCATTGATTTCAGTCTGAACATTCTATGCCTGATCCATGCCTTCCGGTCGTGCGCCCCCTCTCGAACATTCTATCATTGCCCTGGATCAATCAGCTACATAAGAGCGATCACCGTCTACACCTCCGCCTGAATCCTACCTCCGTACCGTCGACCTTGCGGATAATTCCAAGTTGCCAATACAGCTTCACGGTTTGAACTTCCCTCACAGATCTGCCTCCTTCAGTCGTGCTGTCCGTCTCTCCCTATCCAATTCCTCTTCGTACGCTGACATTGTCCACCAGAAGTGACGACAGAGGCAGCTATCTCGTCGCCATGACGATCGTATACCAGACCACGCGGCCTCGAAGACGCTGCACATGTGTCAACGCCGACTTCGAGCCCGTCAGGAGAATCACAAACCCGGGCAATCCCAACGGCAACGCTGGTCGACCTTACGACAGCTGTCGTACATGCCGCGGATGGGTACGCTGGGCAGATGCTAGAGGGGTGAACTGGGCCAATCCCCTCTGCCACTGTGGCCGACCTAGCCGTCAGGATACCATGGGGATAGGGAGCAGACGGCCTGGTCTGGGCTTCTGGACTTGTGCGGATGGCTTTTGCAATTACTATTCGGACGACGAGGATGGTTTCTCCTGGCGTCAGCTGATCGACTGGCGCGCCCCTCAGCTGTTCCGACCATGGTTGTATTGAAGCAGATGCAGGGCCGCTGCTTTGCGAGGTTAAGCAATGGAACTACTGACGCGAGAAAGAGGTTCATGGTCGAAGATGTCCAATGCGGCCAATGTCAACGCTACCGAGTAAAGCGAAGTGAGAGCTGGAATTTCTCGATGATCCTCCAATACTTTTTCTGATTCGGGTTTTGCTCGGGGATGCTGTTAGTATCGCGTAGTGCTAGTGTTGTGTCAACCATACGGCGTTCAAGCTGAAGATGCTTCCTCTCCAATGAACCATTTTTCAGAACTTTCAGCTCTCAACTTTTGGGTTTATGTGGCTTTCTGAGGCTAGAAAGAGGTCACTGGTGTACTTTGCAGATATGAGCGACAGATTCATGGCAAGTATCCGATCCTCTCTCATGCTTGGCAGCACGGCGATCCCAAGTCATGCACGACCCTCATGACGAATGACCCCAATACTCCTGTCAACTTCACTGCAGGCCAGGTTTCCGATTGCGACTCAGTAGCCAGTACACCTTGTCCAGGAGAGTGAGCCACCGTATTCGGAGCGTAGACAAACTCAATAGGAGTCGTTGGCAGCCCACCGATCAACGCAGTAGACTGCGCCCTGCGTTGCGCGAACTTGACGGCCACTCAGCTTGGCAACGGCACGCCTCAACTCACACCAGGCTCCTTCGTGAACTCGAAATGCGTATTAAATAGAGCTTCAACGCAATAATATCGGGTCTACATTGAACCTGGCCAGGCATGAGGGGCGCGTGTAATTGTCAGGGCGCAAGCCCATACGCTTTGCGGCTAGAGCTAGAGGCGCCGATGGATCGAATACTGCAACTCCTTCCCTACTCTGCTTTCGAATTCCGCAGATGAACGGATCCGACGCAGAGACAGTCGTCAAGCGAACCGAGAAGAATCTCGAAATGGGCACACTCTTGGACTTTGCCAGGGTACCGTCGCAAGCTGGCATGATCGTAACGACGATATCACGGGTCCAAATGTGGAGACACGATCCCAAAGCTCTCGCAATCTTAGCCGTGCCTCTGCTCGCGAAAGTGCTCGCTCTCGGTGGTCACTGGCGAGTTGGAAACCACATTGAGGTTGTCGGATATGATCCTGTTGAGATCGCGCAGCGTGGACCTGTCCTACAAGGAGGTCTGGTTAGACCTGGGTAATCGCGGACGCGGTGCCGACGAAAGCAATGCGGATGGAAAGGTTGAAGTCTGGGCGGTCAAAAGGAATGATGAGCGTGGCGACGAGTGTCCAGACAAGACTAATGCCAGGATAACCCATGATGCGCTCGCGCTCTGGCCCGGCGATTCTGTTGAATCTTTAGTTCTGGTTGTTCGTGTGTATCCTTTTACTTTCCATGACTTCGAGCAGACCTGTCAGCCGTAGCATATCCTTCAGTCAAGCTCGCGCCATGGTGCGGATATTCGGATACACTGGCCTTGGCCCCGCTTCAGCACTCACACAGAGCGGAGACTCCGAGCAAATTGATTTCCTCTGCCACATGTAAGAAGCTCGTTAACAAAGCCTCCAAGGACTCGCTAGCTAGACTCAACACCTTTGCAACCACAATGTCCATCAAGACGGCATATGTGACTGGTATGATTTCTGTTTCCTTCCATGAGGCGTTCAGTCTTCGATTCTGACTGTCCCTAGGCGGCGCGAGCGGTATAGGCCTGGCGGTCGTGCAAATGCTTGCGACAAGAGGGTAAGTTCCAATATGTGGCGGTATGGGTGGGTTCCTCACTAAGAGCTCCTAGCGTGAGGGTTGCTATTGCCGACCGCAACTTCGCCGGAGCACAATCCGTGGCCTCTACGATCAATGGCGCTATTGCCGTCGAAATCGATGCTAGCGATTGGGACTCCCAACTCGGAGCTTTCAAACGAGCTCTAGAAGAGTTCATTCGCATTGATTACGTGTACGCCGTAGCCGGGATAGGTGAACGAAAATGGATCCCAAATGATCCACATGCTGTCGACTTCTCCAGACCGGACATGTCTGTATTGGACGTCGACTTGACGGGTCCGTTATACACCGCTGCTTTGGCTATCCAGCAGATGAGACGACAAGCGCCAGATGAAAAAGGTCTTCGAGGAAAAAGTGGGGTCGATCTCATCCGTTAAATGACCATGCCTTTTGCTAAAAACAATGCAGTCGCGATAGCAGCATCGGTCTGTGGCTTTTATTGCATACCGAGTGAGTCGTTCGTCCATCTCGGTCTGAACAGAGAAGCTGACCGTCTCTACCAGCATTGCCCCTTTACACAGCAGCCAAGCAGTGAGTCGTTCAACGCAAGACTTTGAACGTAGACGCTAAATCATGTGCGATAGTGGTGTCGTCGGCTTTGTAAGAAGCTACGGCAAACACCTGCCAACCGAAGCGATCACGCTCAATGCAGTATGTCCGAACATTGTGAAGACCAATATCTCCACAAATGCATTTTACGACCAAGTTGAGCCGCTCAATCTGTTGGTGCCAATGAGCTCCGTGGTCGAGGCATTTGAACGATGTCTTGATAGCGAGATATTGGGTGAGACACTTGAAGTCGAGACACACAGCGGCATCATTCACCGGTCAGCTCCTGAGCCGCTCGACAATGCGGCTGTAGAGAGTTTGGGGATGTTGCACAGGCGAGCAGCTCCGCTGCATGAACCAACCGAATAGAGTTACTTAGCTGGATGCAATCTGTTGGTTGTCTCCATAAGACCTTCAGCTTCCTGCTTCAGCGACGTGACTTGCGTGAGCAAGAAGAAACTTGCAGCACGTGAGGGTGTATTTGCAAGCCTTGGCCCATTGTTCTTCCTGCGCAAACTTCTCGTATTTGATGCTAACATCACCGATTGTGTCCTTTGATATTTGATACGGCATCTTAAGCGCAGACGTTCCTTGTGTGGAAGTGGAATGTTCCACATGCTCGCCGGCTTGCCGTAGACACTCCAGGAAAGCAATCATGGCGCCGTCAAAATTGCGATGCAGAAAACCCAGGCCAAGTGGCAAATCGCCACTGCTGAACAGCTCGAGGATTGTCCGTTTTGGCTTGCCATCTAGGGTCGATGCAGTCTGAGAGTACTCCAATTTGATGATTTTCGACGTTGATCCGACAGGGACCAGCTCATACCCTTTCAGCTTGATGCCTAGTTTCTCAACCACAACAGTGAGCAACAATAGAGTCTGGCCCCAGGCAGCATTGATCTCTGGCCAATCGACAGGCTGATCTTGCGTCTTGCCAAGGCGTAGTCCGTTGATCGTCCCAAACGTGCCATCGTGTCCAATGCAAAAGGTATCGTTGTAAACGTTAGTACGTTGAAGTGCTTCGAGAATCTTGCTGTCTTGAGCAAGCTGGCTCTGAAGACTGTCACGCTCTTCTTGAAAGCTTGACAGCTCTGCAGTGAAAGCATTACGCTCCCGCCAGAATTGCTCCTCTTCTTCGTCAAGTTCTTCAACTTGTGCGTCCAGTGCTGCGATCTCGTCTTCCATGCGCTCCTTCTCCGCTTCGAGAGCCTCCAGCTCTTCAAGCGCGCGCTTCTCCCGCTGCCGAGCGTCTTCCAAAGCTCGTTTCGTCTTCGCCCTTTCTTCATCAGTTGGGAGATCTTGCTGAGCCCTCTTGAGAAATTCGACATAGGCATCGCGCTCGCGAGTCACGCCAACTTGGCGCTTTTGGAGACCTTCGAGAAGCAGCTCCGTGCATTCGCTGCAGATAGGATGGTCGATATCGGAGCGCGCCGACAAAATTTCGAACAGTCGCATGGCAGTTTCCAAGTCCTGAGAGAGCGAGATTTCCCCATTTGAAGAAGTCTGGCCATCTCTCCTCTTAGAGCTCGCACTCTTCTTGCTCGCCGAGGAGAAGACGTCGTCAGAGCCTTCGGCTTTCATTTGAGATTCTGAGAGCATAATATAGGACATGACGGGGTTGATCTTGCCATCCGTATTCCTTTGCGTAGGAGACACTTTGCGCTTGTGCATAGGCTGTCCAGCCTGTTGGGAGACTTGACGATATAACTGCTTCCGCTCCCTAGAAGCGGCAGACCGTGGCGTCTCCGGCGGTTTTGGCGCCAAGATCGGAGCTGCATCGGCTAGAATTTTGAACGAAGCGGGATTGAGGCTTTCAAGCGATCCATCAATTCTCAAAGGCGTCTTGCATTTCTGGCACTGTAGGCTCGCCGTTGCCGCCTTTGACGAAGGCATCTTTAAGGAAGGCGGTGGAAGTAGAGCCTCATCAGAGGGGCAACGTATTTGAACCACTCTTTGGCATCAGGTTCAAGTTGGAGTTCGTGTCTGCAGATGCCGGGCGCGAGGTGTTTGCTTCGCACTGATCATCAGGAAGACGTGGCGCAGCGGCATGTGATTGTCTGGTGGATGGACAGGACAGGACGTTGCAGTAACAAGGTTTAGCGCTCCCGTTCCTTCCCGCCGCCCCGCCTCTGTCCCTTCCCGCCAAACGCGTCACTCGATCGCGTCAAACAAACTACCTACCTTAGTAGACAACATGGCTCTCCTGCGGCTGTGAACGGTGCTTTCAAGCTCCACAATGGACCGAAATGGCGAGCGCGATCAATCGCAGGATGACGATGGCTTGCGCCAGCTCGAACGGGACCGGATCAGCAACGACCACAAGCTGAAGAGCCGGTTCGAACACATCTTCCGCAAATATGAGCACGACTTCGAGGGCGTTGGAGATGAGATCGATATACAGAGCGGCGACATCGTAGTCAACAATGGTCATTTGCAACACATGCGGTATGAGGTGGATCCTGGCAAGGGCGCGTCGTCACGTTTCGTCAGAACATTCCAAGAGAAGCTGGATCAAGAGAGTGAGACTGGATCATCAGGCGAAGATGAGTCGTTGGAAGACGAGGATGACGACGGTGAAGAGGACGACGAAGAGAAATTGACGGAAAATGACACATCTGAAGTTACCCGGGGAGAGCTCTCAGATCGAGGTTCTGTGGACACCTTTGCGAGTTCGGGCCTGCGACGCTCCTTGAGACCTTTCAGCGAAATGGCCAGACCTGCACCAAGACTGGCACACCTCCTTGTCGGCGAAGGGGCTTCTCCACAGGCTCTTGACTCCCCGGGCGACACCGATAGTCAATATGCCAGGTCAACGCCGTCGATTGCTTCCACACCATCTAACATCCTCGGAAAGGTCCCGAACCTACGCCAATCTGTACTGTCCCTCAATGCCAGTCGCCAGGAAGCCGGTTCTGACACCATTCAAGCATTGGGCGTGACTATCGCCAACCAGCTTGCCCAATTGATGGCCGGTCCGTCAAAGAAGCGAAAGAGGAGGCCTCAGCAGCAAAGACGATGGACTGAAAGCCGAGACCCAGTATGGGGTTATCCTGAGATTGGCCGAGCGTCTCCTCGAAATCAACCTCGAAGCCCGAGCCCCGTTGTGCCGCTCCAGAGATCATCTCCTCCAACCGCTACCCCTGGCGGGCAATCTCTCTGGGCGCCTTCCGAGTCTGCGCAATCCAGAAAGCGCCGACGCCTGAATTGGCACCAGCCGCAGATGCAGGAGTCCAGTTCTGGCATTGTCAGCCAACATGCTAGTACTCTGCTATCGTCGGGAGCCCGTACGAGTGCCGACGTGAGGAGATGCTGGAACTGCAGTTTGACTCGGACAGAGAGTTGGCATGAAGGACCACATGGTCAAGATTTGTGCGCATCCTGCGGCAAATATTACGAATACCACCGACGGATGAAGCCATTTGATTCACCCACGCCCTCGCTTGAGGACGACGAGGAAGGTGCACAGGAAGAACCACGAGAAGCACAGATGAACGTAGAGGGCGATACGAGAGCGACGGAAGATCTGACACGACAAGACCAACTGGAGACACAACACTCGCTAGGACCACGCCCGCATCTCAGACCGCCTGATGCCTCAGCTTCTGTATCGCTGAAGAAGCAGGCGCAATTGTCGGAACAGTATATCCCGTCAGATCGCCTCCAGGACTCGACTTCGGGGGTGCGTCGGGCACACCCTACATCTCCGACATTGGACTCTCGTCAACGCCACTTCGAGAGTCATATGCACGATGTTGAGCAAGAGCGCTCTGGCTTGGCCGAACCGCTGGTCTCCCAGGAGGCCGCCGAAATTTCTGAGCTGGTGGAAGATATTCAAGATGGCGAAACAGCAAACCACGCGAATCGAGGAAATGAGCGCCCAAGCACACCGGAACCCCTTACAGGTAGCACAGTAAGCCCATCTGGATACTCCGCTAATACTTCGCGCCCAATACTCAACTCGCCTTCGGGCTGCAAAAGGAGTGCAAAGTACACAGTTGAAGAGGACGCGAAGATCATAAAACTCAAAGAATATGACTCACTCTCATGGGAGACCATCCAAGATTGTTTCCCTGGACGGTCGCGCTGGGCTATACAAGCCCATTACAACCAGTACCTCCGTCACTACCCAAGTTTAGGCCGAAAATATTTAAACGCCCAACTTGGTATCCTGCCTGACGCTACCAACACTGTTGTCAATTCGTCGCTGTCGAAAGACAATGCATGGAACAAGGAGCAAGATGAACTATTGATTGAGCTGCGCAAAGATAAAGAGCTTCCATGGACTGAGATCGCAGGTCTCTTGCCTGGACACACTCCTGGGGCTGTAGAACAACGCTATGGCATGCTATTAGAAGCTGCCAGGAGGCATCACCCGGAACTTCAAGACGAGGAGAGTTTGTTGGACTCCGATCTAGCTTCGGCAATTCGACGAAAGGACCGCTTCTCGGCTGAGGAGGATGCCATGATCGTACGCCTGAGAGAGGTTGATGGCCTCAACTGGAGCCAAATTGCGGAAAGGTTTCCCTGTCGTCAAATTCATTCGGTTCAGAAGCGTTATTCGCTTGCACTCGAACCTACGAAACGAAAGATAAAGAAGACAAGCAGATTCGACCCAATCTGGGGCACCATGGAGGATCGTCTGTTAGCCGTCGACCCAAGTTTGGCCGGCGGCGCGGCATTCACACCAGCTGAGGACCAATTGATTAAGGATTTGAAACAACAGGAATTACTCAGGTGGCACGAGATTGCCGCGAGACTTCCAGGTCGAACGTGCAAGGCAGTTCAGCATCGGTACGCGTACAGATTCTCCGATGCTCTACCCATCGAAGAAGGGACATCAGGTACTTTACAAGATGAAGACGTATCACACCTTGGGCTTGCTGGAAGGCCGTCCAGGATGGGCGTCGCCGAGGAACAGCCTAGAGTGGGCCCCGGCGCAAGGAGGCCATTTACCGAGAAAGAAGATAACCTGATCATGCATATGAAGGAAGTAGAGGACCGCTCATGGAAAGAGATCGCCCTCGAACTCCCGTGGAGGAACGCCAACTCCGTCGCTTCTCGTTATCGGGATGTTCTTCGATATCAAAACCAGGAACAGCCCTCCCGTCGCGATCGAGGCACTTCACCAACCCAGGACTTGACATTGACAGCAGGCGAGCCGTCCGATAAGCAGGTTCGCCTCGTGCGCTACACGCCACAAGAGGACAGCTTGATTATTCGGCTTTACCAACGAGGCTTGCATTGGGCCGATATAGCCGCACAACTACCTGGTAGAACCCAAGGATCTATACAGAATCACTGGTCGTCGAAATTGAAGTATACTGTTCGGAAGAGTCTCCCAGGCACTTCGAATGCGCAGCGAACGGACAGTCCTCTTCTGAGAAAAGCTGTTAGTAATCGACTTCGAAGGCGCACCGTCCATAATCAGCCTCTACATGACAGCCGCACTGGATCAGAAGAGGTCGAACCTGAAAATGACGATGATGTATCTTCGTTGCTGTCGGATGCAAACAGCAGTCTTGATGAAGTCTCCTTTGATCATGTCGATGATGAATGCGAGGCCAACGACCTTTACGACATGGGTCAAAAGGCGGCCGACGGAAATCAGGAACAAGACTCTGCGATGGCAAAGACACAAATCGTTCATTCCCTTCCTGGACCATCTCACGGTAGCGACATACAAATGCTCGAGACTCTCTTGCAGGCTGCGACTCGTTTTGCTGTACAGCAGACCAATCCGAGCCTCTTCGCGCGGATCAGGGATATCTACGACCAAGACAGCAATGATCCACGATTGCATCGCCTGTTAGAGGTCGTGTCCGTGAGTTCCGCTTCAAGTTCAGACGTCATTGCGACGCTTGAGCATGTTGTCAATGCTTCCCCCGACTCCAGCAAGAGCGCTACCCGCTCGTTGCAAGCTGCTCTCACGAATGCCAAAACGCGCCCTGGCACTGGGAAGCCTCGCCCGACTCGCCAAGCTCCTTACCCGGACTCCCGCCGGCCGTTCGCTATAGAGAGGCGCGGACAGCGCCTAGAGCAAGAGCCCTCCCTAGGGGTCGTGACAGAGCCAGCGGGGATCGCCTTGTCACGCCACTCTGGCCATGAAGAGAATGAAAAGGCTTTGATGGACGCCTTCGAGCCAACTCGTAAATCAACTTCAACCATGAAAGGGTCATCGAAAGCAACCAAACCGCAAGGTGCTTCAAAGTCGTCGAAGAGGTCTACGAAGTGGCCTTTGGCCCGTGAAGGAAGTGCTGCCGGCAATCGACGGTCGGCTCGGAACGAAGCACATTGCGTGACCCCAGAAGCGACGCCGCCGCCCGTAAACTCGTACGACTCTCCTTCCTCTACGGGACAGCTATCCCCTGAGCCTACTCTTGCATCGCCAACACGTCCAGAGCTATCATTTTCTCAGCTCGTTCGCGTTGCATTTGAGGCGAATGCCCGCCCAATGCAATGCAAGGACATATATGAGTGGGTAGAGACCAATTACGAATTCTACCGACTCAGCCCGCCGTCTTGGAAGGCCAGAGTCCGTGCAGAGCTTAGCGCGAACCCCTCATTCGAGCGTACGATCACAGCAGAGGGCGAGAGGGCCTGGCAGCTTGTTGAAGGGGTGGACACTGAACCATGGGGGATCACGCGTGGACCTAGAAGGAAGCGTGGTGTGCCACCAATGCCGTTCGAAGATCTAGACGTTGACGACTCGAATGCTGCTCACGCGGACGGTGCTGATACCGCGACAGCGATCGTTTCGAAACATTCTACATCTGATCCACTTGAAGGGCACCCTGAACAGCCAATGCGAACAGACAGGCAGCCAGACAAGCGCAATCCTGACATCGATGCCCCACATCTTCAGGCGGATGTTGTACCGCTGCATGTTGGAACGGCAAATGGCATCAACAAGGCGAGCCACAATGCTAAAATTTGCCAAGAGTCGTCAAATTTCACAGATGTTGATTTTCACGCACCCACGAGCCCCGTGATACCGGACTCCGAAGCTGAGTCTGACACGGAAACGATAGTGGTGGCTCCAGGTGCAGCGTATCGATCGCGGGAAGGACCCGAGATTGGGCGCAAAGCTCATGCCAAGCCTCGCAAATTAGCTACGCAAAAGAAGAAGTCGTTGGCGAACAAGTCTATTGCTCGAAAGAAGTCGCGTGCTAATAGCCTTCTGGAGCAGCAGATTATAGATCTCACCCAGCTGGACGACGAGCTCTCATCCAATCCGGCGCCACCTGTTGACTCGCCAGTGCCACCACTACCAGGGGCAGGCAACCAGTTTTCCATTCCAACAAGATTGAAACAGAATATATCAGGAATGGCTTCTTTCGGCTCACCGGGCTTTGTCAGAGTTTCTACACCGGCAAGATCGTATGGACCGGTCAAGCATGAATCTCCTAGTGTTAGAGCCTCGTCGGTCTCTAGAGGTTCTCCTCTGACCATTTTCGTGCAGCGATCTACGCCTGCACTTGCAGGAAGTGCGAGAAGGTCGAGTGGGTTGGCGAGGTTTGTGGAGACGCCTGTACGGGAAGTGGATTCCGATGAGGATGAATTAGCTTGAACCTGTGAGGAAGATATGAAGTTGACGGCAAGTGTCGTGATTACTGAACCAAAGAGTCAGAGCAGTATTGCTACAAGACTGCATGAGATAGTTTGAAAATCTATAAACGCTTCCGGATTGGAAGCTTTTCAGCATTGCATAGGCATATTACTCTCTCATTCGTTACTTGGAAAATTCATGAGTGCTTCATCACGTAGTTGTAGTTCGAGTGCACAGGGTCCGCTTTTGCAGCCAAGGCAAAATAGGTCACAAAGCATTTCATGACACACTTCATCTATACAAATATACATTGGTGCCTACACTGTCACCATGACACTAGCATTCTTATACCATCCCAGCAACGCATTCTCGCCGCTCCTCATCTGCGTATCTTCCACGTACGCCCAGCGTTGGAAGAAATCTTCATGCGTCATCACCCTCGTCAGCCTTCCCGTGGTAGCTCTGTACAAGTCTTCCATCACCCCGAAGTCTGTCGGGAACAAGATATCAAAGTATCCTTGTTGGACCAAGGGCGTTCGCACAGGCACTGTCCTTCGTTCGTATCGTGTTTGTACCACAGGTGCGTTGTAGCCTGCTGTTGCGTCTGGCAGGCTGTGAAAATCTGATGTGATGAGTCTGTGCGCTGGAAATTTGGCCGAGAGGATCGAGAAGAACTGCATGAGGCGGGTGGGGATGTATTCTGGCAGAGTGAGGTTGGGAGCCAGTGGAAGCTGATGACGAAGGGTGCGTAGAAGTTTCGAGCCTCGCAGTGGGTGTGGAAAAGCTCTGTCTTGACATGCTGCGTCCCTTACCCGCAAGAAGCGCGATGCAACTGGATCGAGAGTGCGGGAGTAAAATTCGTAAAAGTCGCCGTCGTTGTCGATGAGGACGGAGCCTTGCATGACCTCTTCTGTGAATGGATCGTATCGAATGACATCGTGGGCAAAGTTGTCAAAGACCTCCATCGCAAGGAAGAAGCAGGGTGTAGGAACGTAGAGATCCCAGTCGAAGATGGATTTGTTGATGATTTCAACTTTGTCGTGATGGCCTCTGCTCGTCGCCGTCTTCTTGATTTTCTGCGTCTGAAGACTTGCCAACGCACTGGATACCTCGATCACTCTGTATTTCGTCCGCGCGTAGACCTCTGGATCCGCGTGCCGGATGTAGTCCAGAATGTTCATCATCAAGGTTCCATTACCAGCTCCCATCTCATAGATGACGAGATCGTGATAAGGATACAAGGTCAACTTGTAGTTTGCCACCATGTATCTCGCGATTGCCTCTCCATAGAACGGCCGGAAAAGCTCTGACGGGGTATGCCAGAGCTGTCTCGCGTGGTTGTAGTCCTGCTCATCCAGTTGGTCCTCAAATTGTATGTACCTCTCACCCAGCAACCTGTGAAACTCCGGCTCATCCCGTATCTTATTGAAGTCGAAAGGCGCTCCGGGCGAGAAGATTGTGACATTCTTGCTGAAGTAGCCGTAATGCGGGTTGTATAAGCTGTCCTCGATGAAGTCCCTCATCAACATCTTCACCCTTCGCGGCCTCTCCCTCCTACCGCGCAATTGATCTGCCGTGACATTGGGATATCTCTTGTATTCTTCCGCCTTATCGATAGGAAAGTGGTCGGTCCTCTGCTGCCACGAACTGCCCTCTTCTCTCTTTTTCGTTTCCGGAACAGGGATGGTCTTGGTGCGCGTGCTCTGGCAGCGCCATTGGCTCTTGATTGCGTCCTGACAGAATCGATGGGTAGCAAGTCGTCGAAAGAGACGATTGACCGCCGGGGAGTCCATACAGAAAAGACCAATGACGCCAATTACGAAGAATGAAGTTGAATGTCTCGTAGTCGAAGCTGGGAAACAGACGGAGGTGAGCTTAATCGGCCCGTCGGCTTGCCAGGCCGAAAGCCTGAACTTTGATGGCAGCGACCTTGACTTCTCGACTTCACCGTGCCATCATCAAAATCGGTTTCAACTTCGAACGGCACATTAACGATGAGACGACGATAGCACTTGTGGCGGAATGGGCTTCTTTACTGACATATGGAATCGAATCTGGGAGAGGGTTGTCGACAACCGCCAGAAACTCACAGCAACTGGCGGCTTCCTACTCGGCATCATCGTGACTCTCGGCTTGAAAGACCTATACCCAGATCTTGAGCTCGCATACAGGAGAAGATTACGACAGCTGCGTGGGACACAGCATCCTCGTCCAGGACAGCCAGATTATGTACGGCTAGAAGACCATACCGGGAGGAAGTCATCAACACACCCCAGCGGCAGCAATGATCCTCAAAGCAAGGCTTCTCAAGAAGAGATCAGCGTGGGTGTGGAAGGCCTGGTTGGAGACACGCCTCTCATCAAGCTCCGGTCATTGAGCGACGCCACCGGGTGCGAAATCCTAGCCAAGGCGGAGTTCCTGAATGGAGCAGGCAACTCGCCCAAAGATCGAGTGGCGCTGTCGATGATCGCGCATGCCGAAGAAGCCGGCCTTCTCACTCCAGATCAGGGCGACACAATCTACGAAGGAACAGTCGGATCTACCGGTATCTCCTTGGCCTCAGTGGCGAGAGCGAGAGGGTACAAGGCGCATATGTATGTAGCGGTGTATCTTAGCTTTGAACTTATATTCACATCTTTCACAGCTGCATGCCCTCCGACGTCTCTGTCGAGAAGTCGGACCTCCTACTCAAATTAGGAGCAACGGTCGAGCGCGTCAAGCCCGCCTCTATCGTAGACCAGAATCAATTCGTCAACACAGCTCGTCGAAGGGCACAAGAACACACGTCGCACCCCAACAAACCTGGCAGGGGCTTCTTCGCAGACCAATTCGAAAACACGGCAAACTACCTCGCTCATCAAAATTCCACCGGACCGGAAATCTACGCTCAGACGAATGGACAGCTGGATGCTTTCATTGCGGGAGCCGGAACGGGTGGGACGCTATCTGGAGTCGCACTCGCCTTGAAACCTCTCCTGCCCAACCTGAAAGTCATATTGGCAGATCCTCAAGGCTCCGGTCTATACAACAAAGTCAAATTCGGCGTCATGTTCTCTCCCACGGAAGCCGAAGGGACCCGCCGAAGACATCAAGTCGACAGCCTTGTCGAAGGAATCGGAATCAATCGGCTCACGGCGAACATGAATGCAGGACTCCACCTCATCGACGACGCTGTCAAAGTGACGGATGAGCAAGCGATGAAAATGGCAAGATGGCTGGTGGAGAAGGAAGGCTTGTTCGTGGGCTCTAGCAGTTGCGTCAATCTGGTCGCCGCTGCTACGATTGCGACGAGGGAAGGGTGGAAAGGCAAGAGGATCGTGACGATCATCTGTGATAGCGGAACCAGGCATCTGAGCAAGTTCTGGAAGGAAGCTGGGGTCGTTGGTGGAGAGGATGTGGAATTTACCCTGGATGAGATACTGGGGTCAAGCAACAGGAAGGATTGAGGAACGATGAACGAACGGCCATGGCTCCGCTCCGTTCGTCTCGGGCATGTCGGAGTCAAGTTAAGAAAATTTCATGTTCTTCGCTGACTCGTCTTGCAAGCATGGTTCTGCCGGCAAGATATGGGGGTCTCTTTGCAAATTACAGTGGAGGAGGGCACGGTAGGTGGTTTGTTTCGATTTCTCGATGAACTCTCTGTCGGAAAATACTCATGAAGCTTTGCGCAGCCGTTAGTCTCCGTAATTCCAGATCGAATCGTGAGACAGTTTGTATGAAATATAGCATCGATTTGGGGTGGGTTTGGGCAGGTGTGGTGGATGTGTTGTTCAGCTTCTCCCGGAACGGCACACGAGGCGGCACTATCTTCTCATGGGGTATTGCTAGATCACCAATCGCTTCACGTGCACTTCATCTTGTGGAGGGATTACAACGTTGATAATGCCATAGAGAAGCGGCGTGGGCTAGCCAACGTCCGTTGCATCATCCGGATCGATTTGACAGATTACTACAAGTGGCCGAATTTCCAGCGTCAGCTACATCGATAATAGCCGTTATGTATCGCTTCCACCGGAGTTGTCAGATGTTTGTATTGTTTCGAGTGCATCAATGTCCACAGGCCATCTCATCGCATCAGTGGTTTCGTGACGCAGTTCGTGCTTGCTGATGATGCAGTGGAAGTGAATGGAGGTATATATATTTTCGAAGTCGGCGTGTGTCATCCAATCAGAACACTCCCAGAACGCATCAGTGGTTTAGTGGTAAAATTCGTGCTTGCCACTAGTCCTAATCGGGCTTAGCGTGCACGAGCCTCGGGTTCGATTCCCGACTGATGCATTATTTTTTTCCCTCTATAGAGTCTATTATTTTAATAGCCTATAACCGTTTACTAGCTCTATACGTACTTAATATAATTAATTTCTACGAGATACGCGTTCGACTTATAGCTAAAGTATTAGATTTTTTAGCTACTAGACCTAATTTAATTAGGCCTTAGGCTCGAGTCCCGATTATCTTATTCCCCCTCGTATATAACTCTACTTTAATAGTATAAAGCTGTTACTAAGTATAAAGTAGTAGTATAATTGTCGTAAGTACTATTCCTTTCACCTAACATACTTAGAGCCTACCCTAAGAAGCATTAAACAGTAGAGCGGGCTACTCTCGTCCTAAGAAATTTCTTAGCGTTCGTCCCGAGTCGAAGTTCTACCGTATCCTATACACTTCGTATCTATACGTATCTAGACGACCTTACCTCCTTATTACTATACTTAAAACTATTTAATATAGCTATCCGTTTAATACTCGCGCTATTTAGGAGATGTCGTAGTTCTAATTTGTTACCCTATCGGGTATATATATACTATTATTACTTTTATATCTCGAATAAGGTATATATAGGTAGCGCTCTTACTTTTGCTAATTAAATTAAGTAGAGAACCTAATTACGTCCCGATACTCGTATGTATTACTCGAAGACTACGGAATGTTATAAAATAGTAGCTTAGGAGGAAAGTAGGAGCAGGCCTAGTAGTAAGCTGAGTGGTCACGTGACTAGTCATGTGACACGCTGCTTAGTGATAGCAGCTAGAAGTGTAGAGCGGGCTTCTCCTCTCTCCCTACCTACTACCTTTTTATACTAGACTATCTTAGATACCCCCATGGTACCAGGTCCCCCTCTTCGATTATTAAGTCCTTACTTCCGCTACAAACTATATAACTATAATCCTATTCTTAATAGGTTATAAGCCCGGCTTGCGAAGACAGGTCCCAAACTCGGCAAAAGAAGTACGTTATTCACCTTATAAGACCTTACGTGAGGAAAAGGAAGGTCGACTAGAGGCTCATGCCAATGTAGTACAATCTAGAAGCACATAGCCTTTACCATAAAGTGTGCTATAAGTCTAGCAGCCTAGTAAGAGAGCAACCGGTCTGCTCTTACATTATAATGAGTTCTGGAAGAGCTCCTTTATCTGAGACTACTACAAATTGAACCCTCTATGTGTTCAGGAGTGTATATACCTACAAGAATCCGCCCTTCCCGCCGAACATCCAGCAATTTCTTTATATATTATCTAACACATACCTTTCACTAACAACTTCTGTTTTACTATAAAGCTACAGTATCTACTTATTAAAGAAAAGTATAGAGCCCTAGGTCTTTTAGAAAGAGGAGGGTAGTACCTCCTATTATTAAAAGAAAATTAGAGAACATGGCTCAGTCTTTAGGGAGGACAACCTTAAAGGGAAGAATATGTTTTAGGTCATTTTAATCAGTTTAGCTTTTACTAGAGACCCTAGTATTAACACTAGAGGAAACTCCTTTGCCTAGTTTAAGACATTCAGTTCACTTACTAGAGTAAAGGTCTTAGGCTAATATAAAAGCAAGATATAAAACTGTTATCTACCTAATAGAAGATAACTAGATAAGGTAATTAATAAGAAGAGGGCTAAAGCTGTCTAGGACAAAATGAAGGCCAAATACTACAAAGTGTATATTATATATACGATGTCCCTAGTTAAGGAGTATGTTATATTTAGGGATGTTAGAAGAATAGACAATTAGAAAGGGTCGTAGGTACACCTTAGCAATCTTAGGAGAAGGATTACTAAAGTGGATAAGAGGGAGTCCTACTATAAGAGTATAGAAAGGAGGATGAAAACATCTCTTACTAGTCTACTACCACATACTAGAGTATAGTAGACACTATTTATGCCTAGATCTAGGATAATACCTAAAGAGGCTCAAATCTCTTAGAGTCATATAAGGCTAGGGCTCTAAAGACAAGAAACTGCAATGCTTGGCCAGGGTAAAAAGGGAGGACTGCATCATATCTCTATAAGAAGTAGTACTTAATTAAAGACTGTCCTTACCTCTTAGTAGGCAAAGTCTCTTAGTTATGGAAAAGAGGGGGCAGTCCCCCTGCTGGAAGAACAGATTACTATTAAGGATAAGCCTGTTCAATCTTAAAAGGAGATAAGACTGTTAAAATCTCAGAGAAGTCTCTAACCTAGAAGAAGTCTAGTTAGAGAGCTAAGAAACATAGAGAGCTATGCCTCAAGAGGTAGCTAAGGACCTGTGAAGCAAGTTAGAATCCCCCATTCACTAATAAGGAAACTAATAAGGTTGCCTACTCCATAGTAGAAGTAAAGGGTCACCATCTAACGTTGCTTGACCTCATACATCATCCTGATATAACTAACGCAACTTTCTCTCTTTAGAACTATAAAGCTCTTAGGCCTAGATCAAGGTTAGTGTAGCTTTATAAAAGCTACCTATATAGGAGAAGTAGAGATAGGAGAGGACCTTAGAAACAAATTGTTCTAAGAGATATTCTTTTCTTGTTCCTAGTCTTAGTATTAGTCTTGTTTATAGAACCAGTTCAGCTAACAGTTTGCTTGTCTAACCTATTAGTTTCACCCTAGATTCATGTCTAGCAAACTAGTTGTCTAGACCAAAATTTATAGAGGTGTACCCTTTATTTTATCTCTGTTAGATAACCTGTAGGCTATGTTAGTAATAGATGTAATAGAGGAGTTATTAGAGATGCCTTGCTTTCAGCTGCTAAGGAACAGGCTTAGTAGAGCAGCATAGTGTGAGAGCCATTAATGCCTGAATCCTACTCATTTCATAAATGTAATATATCAACAAGTGGAGAAAGGTAAAGACTTCTTCACATCCAATAATCACAGAGCCCCAACAGAGCACTGTCCCAGGCCTCCCAATATCAACTGATCCTTCGAAGGCACTTCTGGAAGAAGGATCATCCTAGTTAGGCTGGGCACTAGTTAAGGGCCTTTAGGAGTGAATGGGAAAAGAAAATGGAGGCAATTCATAGGGCTGCTTTCTAAATTTAATTAGGAGTAATAGTATAAGGGAACTCCTTACTATTTTTAAGTAGTAGGAGAAAATATTGGTGCATTTGAAGGACATAACTGACACCTATAACTCTCTAAAATAAGTGTAGTAGAAAGCAAGCTAATCTAGACCTCTAAGTAGACAGTACGTACAATGCTCTAGGATTTAAAGTGCATGCCTTACAGAGTTTCAGCTAGAAGTACTACTTGGGTTAGGTAGAGATAAGGAAACAAGCTCCAAATAGTCCTCTAATTAATGAATTCAAGTGTTACCCAATAAAGCATTTATAGGTGAGATCCTATTAGTTAACCATTATTTCAGGGTTTAGGGATGCAGTCTATATAGATTCATGTCCACTTTAAGGCTACAGAAGGAGACAAAATTAATAAATAGGGGGAAAGAGGTTGTCTTTATAGGTTATATAGATAGAACTTATGTGCTAATAGTTGTTTTAGGAGCCCAATATAAAGTGCTACGTTATTAAAGCTTACTCCCTAGTAGACTTCTTTAAGAAGAAAAGGGAGGGGATATAGATTTAGGTATTTCAACTTCAAAAACCAATCTAGTAAAGCCCCCTAGAGGAACTGAATAGGAGACTCAAACAACTAGTAACTCCTACCTTGTTATTAGGGCTACTTGCATTAGCCACTACCTAGAAAATTGTTTTATATAGCTCCCTCTCCCACCCCTATATTAGACAGTAAAGAGTACTAGAAGATAGATCTAGAGGGGGACTTAAGAAAATTTAGGGAGAAGGAACCCAAGGCTATACCTGGAGTTATCTAAAATTCCACCTTAGGAGAATCTATAGGATTAGTTGACCTTAGATGCTAGCTATTAGGGACCTACCCTAAGGAGCTAAGCTTAGAAAAGGAGAAGGGATCCAGATAATAAAGGAGACTAGAGTATAAAGTACTATAGGTTATTTATCTCTATAATGTTCTATCTAGATCCAAGTATAAGCTAGGCTAAGGAATTTTTAAATAATATAGAGGAGTATACATTTACTACAGTAGGCCTAACTATTACTACATAGTAGTAAGTACTCAATCCTAAAAACATATAGGGAAGCTATATCTAACCCTACCTAGGGTTATATATAGAGAGAAGCACCTGCATGAGCTTTTAGGCTTGGAGATGAAATAA